GTGACAAGTTGTTTTCGACTTGGAGCCAAATATTGCCCTCTCTGAATAAACCCCTCATATAGTATAGGAGTAACATGGCCACTAGTTTTGAAGCAGACTTTACCAATGACATGTAATAAAACAGTACCTGGGACCTGCACAAATACTTTCGTAATAAATATAATTATGATACAACTGTTATTAAGGCCACACTATTTTTTACTTGCTTTATGGATCTGCCGAAATGGAAGCTACATAAATTCAGAATTTGCTTTCTTTTTAATCCCACCATAAGTTAATAGCATTTCGCACCTCAAAATATTATCTCAACTTTGACCCACTTGAGTTGACATATATCAAACCGGGGAATCAATATAAAGTTTGTTATTGATTGGATGCACAGATGCACAGCTGCACAGCTGCACAATAGTATTCCAACTTGATTCAAGTTTGTACTGCTTAAAGCAACTGCTGTTGCAGGCTCTTCTCCCACATAAGGCCAACATAATAGTCTTGGTTCTCAGGCACCGCCCACACACTCAAAATTAGAAATAGGGGGCGCTTATTAGAATATTATTTTGAGTTGAAAGATCGTAAATTTCGTGGTTTATGCTAACAGCCTGAAATGTTTACATGCGACGGATGTATTTTTCCAGAATTTAATTGCCAATAATTAAGGGTGATATAACACACGAGTGCGTATTATACACGAATAAAAAAGTCCTGTGTACATTGATCAATCATCATCAAGTCCGCCAAACATTTTGTTTTTGTTTCCATTTTTAATTTAAAAAAAAAAATCTGAATATTTAAGTAAAATGTAACCCAATATAGCAGCAGCGCACTGCTTATTGCAAATCTCGTGCGTGTTATGGCCATGTCGGCAATAGGAGTTTGTATGCTTATTTATGTTGCTTGTTTGTTTTGTTTGTTTGTTTGTTTGTTTGTTTGTTGTTTAACGCCCCTCTCAGCAATAATCCAGCTATATGATGGCGGTCTGTTAACAATCGAGTCTGGACCAGACAATCTAGTTATTGACATCATCTAGGCAATTGGGATACGATGACATGCATCAACCAAGTCAGTGAGCTTGACCACCCGATCCTGTTAGTCGCCTCTTACGACAAGCATAGTCACCTTTTTCGGCAAGCATGGGTTGCTGAAGTCCTGTTTTACACCAGATCGTCATGGGTCACTTGTTTATGTAGGGAGGCCCTTTCTCAGGTTGATGGTACACAACTGTTTATTTGGTTACAAACTAGTTTGAACAAGCAAAAAAAACAACCTTAAAACCTCCACCTGCCCGCACTATATTTTCAAAAGTCATTGCCTGAGAACCAATTCTTTTATTCTTGCTAGCTTTAAATTTTATATATGTATTTTTACCAGTGGAGCAGAAAACTAGCAAAAATTTATTTTCCTTCTTTCCCCGCCAACCGACATATTTTCCTGTTAAAAATCAATATAAAACAAATGATGTGGCCTAACTAAGCAATTGAATAACATTTTGCCAGGTAAATTAAAAAATGGATTTTTTTTTTCACAATATTTCATTTGTAAACCAGTGCAGAGTTACATCATGTCGGCATGCTGTGATCCTTGGATAGAATCCTAAACTCGGCCTGGTTGTTTCTAGGTTTACCAGCTCAGGGTTGACTCGGGGGATTTTCTAGACTAACATTTAGTCTCTGAAATCTTATATTACACAATATGCTTCTTGACTCTAAAAATAAAAAAAATTCCCTATGCTGAATAGAGCTAGCTTGAGCTGGCTAGACTTGCTTTTGTATGCGTTTCTAGATTTATTTATTTTTTCATAAAATAAATATATTCCACAGTCATGGTGCAGGACTAGGGATTTTCTGACATGGGCCTTTTATGTGAAAATTTCAAACATTCCAGAGGTAGGCCAATACAGAACAATATTACAATGCCCCTTTGTATTTGAAAATGTGGGCCTTTTTTCAAATTTAGGGTCTAAGAGCACAAAGCCCCACCCTAGAATTATCCAGCCTGCATGTGCTCATGGGGTCCACGAAAGTGGTAATTGTCTCCAACCTTCAGGACATTTTAAGAATAAAAAAAATAAGGCAGATTAAAAATATCAATGGCGGCCTGTGGTTAAGAAGAAGGTTTCCCTGAAGGTCTTCGTGTCTACGACCTTTGTCTCTGCGACCTTTGTCTCTACGACCTTTGTCTCTGCGACCTTTGTCTCTACGACCTTTGTCTCTACGACCTTTGTCTCTGCGACCTTTGTCTCTACGACCTTTGTCTCTGCGACCTTTGTCTCTATGACCTTTGTCTCTACGACCTTTGTCTCTACGACCTTTGTCTCTGTTGCTCCTTCCATCACCCAGTGGACACGCTGTGATGTTACTGAAATACTGCTAGAACCAGGTCGGAACCTGCTCTGTTGAAGTATTAGTAGGTTACGCTACATAATGATATATATTGAACATTGTAATTAAAAGAAACAAATAACTATGAAGTGTAATGTGTTTATATAAGATGCTCGGTTTTTGTGGTTGGTTTATTGTGACATTGTCCCCTTAAAGCTGTGCGATGTTATAAGGAAGTGAACACTTAATTCAGCTGACACGCTGCTCGCTGGAGGCGTGTGGAGTACTGACTGGGTTTATGTCAAGCACATGTCTGTGTGAGTGTCGGGGAATTCATGCCTTGCTCCCACATGCTTCCCACTGAGTTCTCCCAGCATTCTCCCAGCATGTCAACAGCTATTTGTCAGCACCGAGCATTGTTTCAAGTAAGTGTTATAGGAACATGTTTTTGACACTTGTCATTTTGTTTTGCCTAATATCCGACATAGTATCTACAGTATCAATATCTTGCCTTCATGTTATTCATATCTGTTCAACTACATCAGATAATTATACAAGATGTGTATTATCACAATAAAAACATGAATAGTGATGATGTTGATTGTCACTTCTCAGGACAGTCCATCTGTCAAACTGTCATACACAATGAGGACATTTTAAACACCTGTCATTTCAAGGTTCAAAATTAACAAAAGTCTGCTAGTCTTACCCAGGTACAATTAAGGAAGGACTGGTGACTTTTTCTTGTGGACTGCTTCTTTTACCATGAGGTAACTCTGTGGCAGGCCATTTTTATGCAGTAGTCAACACAAACTATATCTAAGACAGATGTTGTTAGTTTGCTTCTCTTTTAGTGAAAGGCTTTGCACCAACTTGGCTTGGTGAAGTGATGGTGTGATTGAGGTCTTATTCCTTGATCATTATGTTTCACTAACAATCAGTCAATTTACCCGGTTCACAGGAGCACAGGTACAATATCCTGCTGGTAACAATAGGAAATGATGAACTGTTTTCCCCTTAATCTAGTTATAAGTGTTATGACAAGCTCACTCTGTGAACCAGTTAGACATAGCCCATGGTAGCGAAAATAATAATATTAATGATGATGATGATGATGATGATGATAATATTATTAATGATGATGATGATGATGATGATAATATTATTAATGATGATGATGATAATAATAATATTAATGATGATGATAATAATATTAATGATGATGATGATGATGATAATATTAATGATGATGATGATGATGATGATGATGATAATATTGATGATGATGATGATGATAATAATCATCCCATTTATGATGCACCGACTTCCATTCACCAAGTGAATGCTCATGGGCCTCCGTCATTCTAAGCTCAATGGATCCGTGTGCACGCTATTTCTATTCTCAGCTCAATGGATCCGTGTGCACGCTATTTCTATTCTCAGCTCCCTGGGGAGTATACAACCCAAGCTGACTTGTATCCATGTAATATTGCCAGAACATGGGTAACTCGTGAAACAAGTCTTTTTCTATTCTGATTCCATAGAGATTGTTAGCTTTGGGTGTGAATTCAAATACCACTTCTTATGATACGATAGCCAGAGATTACGACATTCGTGACCTCTTCAGGTGGCCATGACTTGCCATTTGTTCTTCAGCAGTAAGTGAGTTACCATGTGCTTATTAGCCGGAATCAGCTGATCTTTGCTTTGAATGGTTGATTTGCTGCAATTAGAGTGCCACCGTACACCTGCTTGTGATTTCTCTGAAGTGATAAACATGGTGTTTCTGCCACAATGAACCTACATAATGTATAAGGCTTGCTATCGATACAGATTATAGTGATTGATAATCGTTGACGAAATATTGATTAATTATTGATAAATATCGGAGAAGTGACTTTGAGCAAATATGCAGAAAAGTCTGAAAGAAATCTGCAACACTCGACACTTGACACATTCATGCATGGATTACTCTGTGGACGTTTAAGTTCTAAGTATAACAGTTGTTTTCTGTCTTTGGCAATTAGTCTGTGTTTCTGTAGTTAATAGAAGATGTATGAATACCGTTTAGATTCAGAGCTCATGTTAATCACACACACTGTGGATTCTGGGGCAGGACGAGTCCCCACTGGTTGATGCTTGGAGAGTTGGTGTGTTGATGTCTTGAGAGTGTTCATACTATCAAGGACTGGTTGGCTTGAACAGTTGTACACAGTTATACATAGCTATACATAGTTCACCCGTGAAGATCTGGGGTAGGAAAGGACTTCAGCAACCCTTGTGTGCCTTAAAAGGCGACTAACGGGATCGGGTGGTCAGGCTCGCTGACTTGGTTGATGCATGTCATCATATTCCGATTGCTTGGATTGATGCTCATGATGTCAATCACTGGATTGTCTGGTCCAGACTCTTTTTTACAGACAGCAGTCATATAGCTGGAATATTGCTGAATGGGTGTTAAACAACAAACATAGTTATACATAGTCTTACAGTTATAGTTATTCATACATAGTTATGCACAGTACAGTTATACATAGTATTACTTTGTTGTACTTTGTCGTTGCTTATGAGGATAACATCTAGTTACATAGACTTGATTATTTTCAAGTTGCTGCACTGTAACTGGAATATTCCTGACTAGTGTAAAAAACATTTGCTGACTTGTGTTTTTTTGTTTTGCAGCAAGGCTATACTAGAGGCAGGCATGACTCCGGGAACTCCAGAACGTACGCAGTCAGAGGTAAGAATGTGTTAACGTCAATTACCAACTAATGATAGTAAAGTTGCAGAGTTTCAGATTGGCTCATTTTCTTGGACATTGACTTGTAACCCAAAATGTCATAAAAATATTTTTCAATTTTGATGATGGCATAGATGAATTTTCTATCAAAATTTGCAAAAATGAAAATGTTTGAATGACGTTTGTCACCAGTACAACACTGCATTATTCTGGGACAAACACCCAGTGCACAGCGTTCAGCTGTGCTCCATAGTGGGGGCTGTTGTGTTGATCAGTAAACAAGATCTCTGTGTAGTCATCAACTGTCAGGTTAATAAATAATAAACAAAAAGTGTAAACAACATGTGTCGAACTTGCAAACAATGCCAATTTTCCTGAACCTGTTTAGTTGTTTGTCAACATGCCACTATTGACTATTGTTCATCTGTTGGTGCCACTGGCATGAATTTGATACTCTTCCCTGCAGATAAACCAGTTATTTAGAGAAAGAGTTAAAAAATAACCAACCTCCTACCTATCCTTTTTAGGGATAGGCTGAAATAGGAAACAGAGATTGTATATTTATTGTTTTGGAATTCATGATATGTATATATACTATACGTTCAACACGATACCTTGAATTGCCTCCTGACTGGAGGGGCTCAGTGTTTTTTTTAAATGAACACAATGAAAATGCTTCATCCACTAAGAGAACGACAGTGATCCCTCGCTACAACGCTACCTTCCCTTCCCGGGTTCAAATAATTGATGAGCGTTATAGATGATCAGCGGTTTAACGAAGGTTGAGTCGTAGGTGGTAGATGACCAACCAAACAGTATACATGCTCTGCCTACCTAACACGATCTTCGTTGCATGTTTCAGAGTTTCAAAAAAGATTAGAATAGAAGTTATTTATGATTCATAGTGTGAAAGAAATTCAAGTATTAATATGTGCTTTAAAAAAACCCACATCGTATCCCTTCAGCGAATTCAGGTGAATAAACAGGTATAACAAACTTGGTAAATAAAAGTATAAAATTTGATGTAAAACATCACTAGACATGATGATTTACCATTTAAGATGTATTTCCTGCCCTCCAAGGCATTGTTTATATGCAGAGATTAAGATTACTGTGTGTATTTTCTCGTAAACTAAGCCGGAAATAGCAATCAGCTGTGCACACGTTTCCTCCCAATAAACCAGTGATTCATATATACTTAAAATTATAAGAAGCATAAGCGTAGCACTTTGGTACAGATGGTACAGGGTCTGTTTTGATGTATGGAACAATTTGACCAATCACTGCAGGGACATCCATGCTACGTGTATTTCCATTGCGAAAACGTTATGTTGCCAGTTAATAGTCAAACTGCCACAAGTTTTCATGTTGATCGTTATGTTGGGTTAGCGATGGTCTGCTGTTGCAAAGGGCGTATCATGTGTCCCCACATTGCATGAATTAATCAATGGAGAGCTTTTTTCATCCATTTGTTGCCATGGTGACAAGTTCTTGAATATGTATGATAAATTCAAGTGTTGTGACAAATGTTTTACAAAAGTATTAAACATGTTAGCCTACTTTGAACCTTTCATCAATAATAAGCAGTCACGCTGGGATTCAAGACTGGGCTTCACTCACTCACTCACTCACTCACTCACTCACTCACTCACTCACTCACACACTCACACTCACTCACTCACTCACTCACTCACTCACTCACTCACTCACTCCACCCACCCACCCACCCACCCACCCACCCACCCACTCACTCACTCACTCACTCACCCACCCAGCTGTCTACTCATGTACCCTGGATCTTCATGGGTCTGTTGTACACCCGGGGGGAGTCCTGGTAAGAATGTTACAAACATCCGATGTAACCGTCCTGTTTGCGTTGCAGTCCATGCTCAGTGATGACAGCTTCTTGATGGAGGAGCCAGCCGTCAGCTGCAGCAGCAGCAAGCTGGGAGCCAGCAAGACATCGGAGGCCAAGTCCGTTTTCTCTCTCGATGCCTTGTTGGCGGAGAAGGTGGAGAATGTAGGTTGATATCATGAACTATACACCGCTTGATATATCCTGACTTTGTCTGTTCAGTGTTTGCAGTTTCTTAAGTAATGTCAGCCTGTCTTAGAATATATTCAGATTATCACTAACAGATCCTTGGTATCACTGACACAGGTTCTTAGAGCTGAAGCTTCTCTAACTGATGCCGTTCATAATTGTGTTCGTTTTGAGGTGTTTTACATCAATTGGGAACTCCTTTTTGAAATTGGTTGTTTATATTTTTGTGAATGTGAAAACTTATTTTTATTGCAGAACAAGATAATTCTTTCTTTTTAGACTCATCCTGTAAAAAATTATGCCTTTTCCAAATGAGTGACTATTGAGATATTGATTCTGAAAATGACACAATTACTGACAATGTTGGTAAATATTGACTCAAAGTATTGAAGGAGACGCCTGGTGTTGTATACAGAGTTTATACAACACAAAAATGTTTAGAATGGATGCAGAATAAAGAATATGCTGGATCCCAAGGAATGTACACTAACATTCAATGTACCAAGTTATTGACAATATATAAATAAGGCCTGTAATTTAAGTAATTATCAAATTTTAAAATACGGTACACTACCCCATTTCATTACCTTACAGCACCCTCATATTGACTGTATTGTTCAGGTCAAGGTAAAACCCTGTGTATATTTCAAGAATTTGTCAAATATACAAATATATTCGGAAAGTGTTCCATAATTCATATCTTTGTTTTCTGAAATGCAACCTCTGCATGAAGTATGCAGCGAAGGTAACTGAAGTAACACTGCATGCTCATCTTTCTGACACACCTGTTTCTGTACTTCCTGCTTGTCGGGAGTTGGTACTTGACGAGGCTGTGTTACTGTATAAATGTATGTGACATGTGTCTGATCACAGCTTTTGTTATCTTCACTACAGGAGGAGGCAGACCGGGAACTTCACGTCATGCAGTTCGAGTTGAAGGTAGAGTCTCTCGGCCATCAGTGTTGACATGAGGAGGTGTCTGCTGCTGCTACAGACATCCTACCCTTAGGATTTGATCCCTATCCTTAGGATTTAAACCCTACCCTTACGATTTAAACCTTACCCTTAGGATTTGAACCCTACCCTTAGGATTTAATCTCTACCCTTATTTATAAACCTATTCATTGGGATCGCTATTAAGTAAGAGACTTCTTTCTATAGGCATTAAAACCTATTGTGAGGTTTTACTTTCCAGTCGGGTTAAATCTCATAAACAGGGACGTTGTAATGTCCCTGGGATTTTATACAATATCCCAGGGAATTTATATAATGTCCTGGGTATTTTATTAATATAACTTCCGTTCAGATTGTAACATGTAATGAAATGTAAAATCAAATGACAAATGTTTTCTTTATATTCCCGAGGATCGAACTCGCAACTTTCATCTCTGTAGCCCAGTGAGTGTACCACGAGGCAACAGATATTTTACGCGCGTTCCCTAAGGTTCATGGAAAGTATGTTCGAAACATAAAAATGTTGATAAATGTTGTTTTAAGTTTGTTTTTTTCGGTTTATAAGCATGGAAAAACACTTTCATTCGGTTTTGGTAGACAGAGCATGCCCTGGGGGTTGGGAAAAACCGCGGGGGCTTCACCCCCTTGGTTTTTCCCTCTCCCCTGGGCATGCTCTGTCTACCAAAACCTCGTGAGCGTGTTTTCTCCAATACTTAATCCCTACCATTAGGATTTAATCCCTACCATTAGGATTTAAACCCTACCCTTAGGATTTAATGCCTACCCTTAGGAATTTAAACAGTGGCATAAACCTCTACTCACTCACTCACACACTCTGTTTACAGGAGGGCATCAGACAGGGAGGATTCATCAAGTTAGCAGAAGCGGAAGTCGAGGACTCTGAAGGTACTGTTTGTACTGTTGGTCAAGCATCTGTAGCAGTCGCATTTCCAGGATAGAACAGGTTCCCAGTGCGCTCTGCACCCAGTGGGAACAATCTAGAATAGATCCCGGTATGCTCTGCACCCAGTGGGAACAAACTAGAATGGGTCCCAGTATGCTCTGCACCCAGTGGGAACAATCTAGAATGGATGCCGGTATGCTCTGCACCCAGTGGGAACACACTAGAATGGGTCCCGGTATGCTCTGCACCCAGTGGGAACAATCTAGAACAGGTTCCCAGTGCGCTCTGCACCCAGTGGGAACAATCTAGAACAGGTTCCCAGTGCGCTCTGCACCCAGTGGGAACAATCTAGAACAGGTTCCCAGTATGCTCTGCACCCAGTGGGAACAATCTAGAATAGATCCCGGTATGCTCTGCACCCAGTAGGAACAATCTAGAATAGATCCCGGTATGCTCTGCACCAAGTGGGAACAAACTAGAATGGGTCCCGATATGCTCTGCACCCAGTGGGAACAAACTAGAATGGGTCCCGGTATGCTCTGCACCCAGTGGGAACAAACTAGAATGGGTCCCGGTATGCTCTGCACCCAGTGGGAACAAACTAGAATGGGTCCCGGTATGCTCTGCACCCAGTGGGAACAAACTAGAATGGGTCCGGTATGCTCTGCACCCAGTGGGAACAAACTAGAATAGATCCCGGTATGCTCTGCACCCAGTGGGAACAATCTAGAACAGGTTCCCAGTACGCTTTGCACCCAGTGGGAACAATCTAGAATAGATCCCGGTATGCTCTGCACCCAGTAGGAACAATCTAGAATAGATCCCAGTACGCTCTGAACCCAGTGGGAACAAACTAGAACAGGTTCCCAGTGCCCTCTGCACCCAGTGGGAACAAACTAGAATAGATCCCGGTATGCTCTGCACCCAGTGGGAACAATCTAGAACAGGTTCCCAGTACGCTTTGCACCCAGTGGGAACAATCTAGAATAGATCCCGGTATGCTCTGCACCCAGTAGGAACAATCTAGAATAGATCCCAGTACGCTCTGAACCCAGTGGGAACAAACTAGAACAGGTTCCCAGTGCCCTCTGCACCCAGTGGGAACAAACTAGAATGAGTCCCGGTATGCTCTGCACCCAGTAGGAACAATCTAGAATGGATTCCCAGTACGCTTTGCACCCAGTGGGAACAAACTAGAATGGGTCCCGGTATGCTCTGCACCCAGTAGGAACAATCTAGAACAGGTTCCCAGTGCCCTCTGCACCCAGTGGGAACAATATAGAATAGATCCCGGTATGCTCTGCACCCAGTGGGAACAAACTAGAATAGATCCCAGTACGCTCTGCACCCAGTGGGAACAATCTAGAACAGGTTCCCAGTACGCTTTGCACCCAGTGGGAACAAACTAGAATGGGTCCCGGTATGCTCTGCACCCAGTGGGAACAATCTAGAATAGATCCCGGTATGCTCTGCACCCAGTAGGAACAATCTAGAATAGATCCCGGTATGCTCTGCACCCAGTGGGAACAAACTAGAATGGGTCCCGGTATGCTCTGCACCCAGTGGGAACAATCTAGAATAGATCCCGGTATGCTCTGCACCCAGTAGGAACAATCTAGAATAGATGCCGGTATGCTCTGCACCCAGTGGGAACAAACTAGAATGGGTCCCGGTATGCTCTGCACCCAGTGGGAACAATCTAGAATGGATGCCGGTATGCTCTGCACCCAGTGGGAACAATCTAGAATGGATGCCGGTATGCTCTGCACCCAGTGGGAACAATCTAGAATGGATGCCGGTATGCTCTGCACCCAGTGGGAACAATCTAGAATGGATGCCGGTATGCTCTGCACCCAGTGGGAACAATCTAGAATAGATCCCCAGTACACTCTGCACCCAGTGGGAACAATCTAGAATAGATCCCCAGTACACTCTGCACCCAGTGGGAACAATCTAGAACAGGTTCCCAGTGCCCTCTGCACCCAGTGGGAACAATCTAGAATGGATGCCGGTATGCTCTGCACCCAGTGGGAACAATCTAGAATGGATGCCGGTATGCTCTGCACCCAGTGGGAACAATCTAGAATGGATGCCGGTATGCTCTGCACCCAGTGGGAACAATCTAGAATAGATCCCCAGTACACTCTGCACCCAGTGGGAACAATCTAGAACAGGTCCCCTTCACCCTATGTATTGTACCCAGTACCCAAGTGTGTCAGCTACCACATGACCTCACAATAGTGATAAATGTTTCAGTTGCAATAAGGGAGACGCAGCTTTTTAGTGCATTTTTCACTGCAGGACAATTTATGCCGTAAGTGAGAGGCAGCACTTTAGTGCATTATTCACTGCAGCACTTTAGTGCATTATTCACTGCAGCACTTTAGTGCATTATTCACTGCAGCACTTAAATGCATTATTCACTGCAGCACTTTAGTGCATTATTCACTGCAGGACAGTTTATGCAGTAAACCAGACACAGCACTTTAGTGTATTATTCACTGCAGCACTTTAGTGCATTATTCACTGCAGCACTTTAGTGCATTATTCACTGCAGGACAGTTTATGCAGTAAACCAGACACAGCACTTTAGTGCATTATTCTCTGCAGCACTTTAGTGCATTATTCACTGCGGTACAGTTTATGTTTAGGTGATGCATCATAATTAATTGGGTTATTTGTTTTGTATGTTTTTTTCTGAAATACACAGCTTATCTTTAGCTCTGTGTCTCTCTCTATTGCCCACTGGGTTAAAGGGTAAATGGTCAGATCCCACTTGCTGTGACATGAGACATGACAGTAACCATGGTAACTTGTTTGTTAGCAGTTGAACAAGGATAATCTTCTTTTGTTTCCACAGATGAGTTGCTGCCTGAACATCAGCAGAAGCTGGAATATGTGAGTTGATTGGTTGATTGGTTGATAGATTACACTATTGGATACTGGGTTAGGATTGGTGTCCAGGTTGACTGCGTGTCGTGGTAACCCAATGGCATTGGACATTGCTCTTAATGTCAACCACTGGTTTGTCTGACTGGACAGGGCGGTGGGGTAGCCTAGTGTTCGCTCATCAATGTCGAAGGCCCAAGTTCGATTCCCCACATGGGTACAATGTGTGAAGCCCATTTCTGGTGTCCCCCGTCGTGATATTGCTGGAATATTGCTAAAAGCGGCGTAAAACCATAATGTAGTTTCTTGAGTATAGTGCACACCCAAGTATAATGCACAACCCCCTCTAGCGGGTTGAGTATTTTGAAAATTCGATTATTCAAATATTATGCGCAGAAAAAAATTACACCGTACCCCTTTAGCGAACTCCGGTAAACGAATGGGGGATAAGAAACTTGGTCAGTACAAATTTGAAATTCACCGTTTAAATTGTATTTTTTGTTCTGCTAGGCATTGTTTTACATGAGGAGATTAAGATTACCGTGCGTATTTTCTCATAAACTAAGCCAGAAACAGCAATCAGCTGTACACACGTTTTCTTGGAATCTACTGGTGATTTGGTTAACACTTACCCAATGATATAACTTTAAAGGATTTTGATGCATGGATAGGGAAAAATTGTATCTGAAACGATTTTTTTATCTGGAATAATATATTCCAATATCATGTTATTTGGCAGCGTTTACAAAATATATTATAAATAATAATAACCCTAAGCGTAGCACTTTGGTGCAGCTGATCGCTATTGCCGGTTATTTTACAATTGTAACAATTTAATCAGTCACTGTCGAGGCTCACGCGCACATGATTGCGAGAACTACATGTTGACATAGAATCGTCAAACTATAACAGATGACTTTTAACGAGTCAAAGTACAGCATTTAAGATTTATGTATCCATTCTCTGTCAACTAAAGTTCATTTCAAGGCGCCAATAGCGGTAATCTGTAGTTGCTGTTAATAACGATGAGTTGTGCGATCTTCCAATCACTTCACACACGATTTCGCTGAAATTAATAAAAACAATATTAAAAGGAATTTTGAACAAAGTTAATAAAATAAGTTACAAACATAAGTCCAGACATGCAATGAACACTTTTTATGACCAGACAGTGTAATTACATGATTGCATTGTGTACTTCAGTATGGATTTGTTGACATGGTATTTCCGGTGTTATGTGCTCACTCTAATGCCTTTGTGTGGGGGAAGACAAACATCCAAACTCGTTAAGGCATGTATAATGCTCACACCCTTCTACACAGTTGTGTTTTTTGGTAAAAAAGTGTGCACTCTACTCAAGAAAATACGGTACTCACACTGACCCAATAGCATGGGACATTGCTCTTCATGTCAACCACTGGTTTGTCTGGCCTAGACTATAAAGAGACCCTTGATGATCCGGGGTAGAATAGGTCTTTAGCAACCCATGCTTGCCGTAAAAGGCGACTGTTCATGATGTAAATCACTGGATTGTCTTGTCCAGACTCGATTATTTACAGACCGCCGTCATATACCTGGAATATTGCTGAGTGCGGCATAAAACAACAAACAAAACCAAACTAGACTATAAAGAGGTCATTGTAATAAAGCTGGTACATGGTTGACTGCAGCAGAGGAAAACATCTTCTGACTCCCCGCCATGTAAGAGTCTTGAGTTGCTCATTCCTGAAGGTTTGTCTGATGGCGTTCACTCGTCCATAAGGCTGCTTGCTGGCCGCTGCACACACGCACCCATCCATACTCCCATCCACCTCCCTCCCCTACTCCTGTCCACACTCCCATCCACCTCCATCCCCTACTCCCGTCCACACTCCCATCCACCTCCCTCCCCTGCTCCCGTCCACACTCCCATCTAAGCTCCCTCCCCTCCTCCCGTCCACACTCCCATCTAAGCTCCCTCCCCTACTCCCGTCCATACTCCCATCCACCTCCCTCCCCTACTCCCATCCATACTCCCATCCACCTCCCTCCCCTACTCCCGTCCACACTCCCATCCACCTCCCTCCCCTGCTCCCGTCCACACTCCCATCTAAGCTCCCTCCCCTCCTCCCGTCCACACTCCCATCTAAGCTCCCTCCCCTCCTCCCGTCCACACTCCCATCTAAGCTCCCTCCCCTACTCCCGTCCATACTCCCATCCACCTCCCTCCCCTGCTCCCGTCCACACTCCCATCTAACCTCCCTCCCCTCCTCCCGTCCACACTCCCATCTAACCTCCCTCCCCTACTCCCGTCCACACTCCCATCTAAGCTCCCTCCCCTACTCCCGTCCACACTCCCATCTAACCTCCCTCCCCTCCTCCCGTCCATACTCCCATCTAACCTCCCTCCCCTCCTCCCGTCCACACTCCCATCTAACCTCCCTCCCCTCCTCCCGTCCACACTCCCATCCACCTCCCTCCCCTACTCCCGTCCACACTCCCATCTAAGCTCCCTCCCCTCCTCCCGTCCACACTCCCATCTAAGCTCCCTCCCCTCCTCCCGTCCACACTCCCATCTAAGCTCCCTCCCCTCCTCCCGTCCACACTCCCATCCACCTCCCTCCCCTCCTCCCGTCCACACTCCCATCCACCTCCCTCCCCTCCTCCCGTCCACACTCCCATCCACCTCCCTCCCCTACTCCCGTCCACACTCCCATCTAAGCTCCCTCCCCTCCTCCCGTCCACACTCCCATCTAACCTCCCTCCCCTCCTCCCGTCCACACTCCCATCCACCTCCCTCCCCTACTCCCGTCCACACTCCCATCTAACCTCCCTCCCCTCCTCCCGTCCATACTCCCATCTAACCTCCCTCCCCTCCTCCCGTCCACACTCCCATCCCCTCCCTCCACTCCTCCCGTCCACACTCCCATCCACACTCCCATCAACACTCCCATCAACCCTCCCATCAACACTCCCATCACCTTCCCTCCCCTCCCTCCACTCCTCCCGTCCACACTCCCATCCACACTCCCATCCACACTCCCATCCACACTCCCATCAACACTCCCATCAACACTCCCATCACCTTACCTCCCCTCCCTTCACTCCTCCCGTCCACACTCCCGTCCACACTCCCATCTAACCTCCCTCCCCTCCTCCCGTCCACACTCCCATCCACCTCCCTCCCCTCCTCCCGTCCACACTCCCATCCACCTCCCTCCCCTACTCCCGTCCACACTCCCATCTAAGCTCCCTCCCCTCCTCCCGTCCACACTCCCATCTAACCTCCCTCCCCTCCTCCCGTCCACACTCCCATCCACCTCCCTCCCCTACTCCCGTCCACACTCCCATCTAACCTCCCTCCCCTCCTCCCGTCCATACTCCCATCTAACCTCCCTCCCCTCCTCCCGTCCACACTCCCATCTAACCTCCCTCCCCTCCTCCCGTCCACACTCCCATCCACCTCCCTCCCCTACTCCCGTCCACACTCCCATCTAAGCTCCCTCCCCTCCTCCCGTCCACACTCCCATCTAACCTCCCTCCCCTCCTCCCGTCCACACTCCCATCCACCTCCCTCCCCTACTCCCGTCCACACTCCCATCTAAGCTCCCTCCTCTACTCCCGTCCACACTCCCATCTAACCTCCCTCCCCTTCTCCCGTCCATACTCCAATCCACCCATTACAAGTTGTTACATATTCATAATATGATGAATTATGAATTGTTTAAATTTAAATTGTTTAATTCACCGGACAATTAATAACATGAACATCATTTTAGAATTACATGGAAAACATACGCTTATTTCTGTTACAATAACGATCTGTTAAAGTAGTAAACGGTCTTATTAATATTCATGAGTTGTATCTGCTCAAGTGTATATCCCATATTTGGTTATCACGTGACCTCACGGGAAAAGATTTTTTTTAAACTAATGATTTTTTGAATACTTTTCATCTGTACTTATTTATTGACCATAAAAAAATATATCGATCGTCACAGAAAACAAATTGGCGGTCAATCAAGATTCAATATACGACTAGCTACTGAAAACAATAAAATGTGCAAATCCTCATTGTATGTAAACCAAGTGAAAGTCGTTAACCACGACTTACAAAATGATCGTCCTGACTTTGAGGGTTAGGCAGATCCGCTTGACCGATCTGCATCGGTCGACTGGCTGTCGTCACACTTTCGCTTCTTGTCTCAGGTTACGTATTGTAGCATTGTGAGGATAATGAGGTACATCCATGATGCAAGGTATTTGTACAGTTGTAAACACCTTTCACTCAAATTAACAAGTCAGTGTCAGCTTGTCAGTGTAGATAATCTTCATTGAAACTGCTCAGTCCTAACTGTTGATAATGTCCGGTCAAAATTTAAGAATGTCCGGACAATATTTGTTTTAATGTCCAGACAGAAAAATTTAAATGTCCCGTAAGCAATATTTGAAACCGGACATTTGAGATTCCAAATCGGACATGTCCGGCGCATATGACCGTTTCTGGACCCCTGATTCCCATCAACACTCCCATCACCCTCCCTCCCCTCCCTCCACTCCTCCCGTCCACACTCCCATCAACACTCCCGTCCACACTCCCATCCACACTCCCATCCACACTCCCATCAACACTCCCATCAACACTCCCATCAACACTCCCATCAACACTCCCATCACCCTCCCTCCCCTCCCTCCACTCCTCCCGTCCACACTCCCATCAACACTCCCATCAACACTCCCATCAACGCTCCCATCAACACTCCCATCAACACTCCCATCAACACTCCCATCACCCTCCCTCCCCTCCCTCCACTCCTCCCGTCCACACTCCCATCCACACTCCCATCAACACTCCCATCAACCCTCCCATCAACACTCCCATCACCTTCCCTCCCCTCCCTCCACTCCTCCCGTCCACACTCCCATCCACACTCCCATCCACACTCCCATCCACACTCCCATCAACACTCCCATCAACACTCCCATCACCTTACCTCCCCTCCCTTCACTCCTCCCGTCCACACTCCCATCCACACTCCCATCAACACTCCCATCAACACTCCCATCACCCTCCCTCCACTCCCGCCACTCCTCCCGTCCACTCTCCCATCAACACTCCCATCAACACTCCCATCAACACTCCCATCAACACTCCCATCAACACTCCCATCACCTTCCCTCCCCTCCCTCAACTCCTCCCGTCCACACTCCCATCCACACTCCCATCCACACTCCTATCAACACTCCCATCACCCTCCCTCCACTCCCTCCACTCCTCCCGTCCACACTCCCATCCACACTCCCATCCACACTCCCATCAACACTCCCATCAACACTCCCATCACCCTCCCTCCACTCCCTCCACTCCTCCCATCCACACTCCCATCAACGCTCCCATCAACACTCCCATCAACACTCCCATCAACACTCCCATCACCCTCCCTCCACTCCCTCCACTCCTCCCGTCCACACTCCCATCCACACTCCTATCAACACTCCCATCCACACTCCTATCAACACTCCCATCACCCTCCCATCACCCTCCCTCCACTCCCTCCACTCCTCCCGTCCACACTCCCATCCACACTCCCATCCACACTCCCATCCACACTCCCATCAACACTCCCATCAACACTCCCATCAACACTCCCATCACCCTCCCTCCACTCCCTCCACTCCTCCCGTCCACGGGGCGGTCGGGTAGCCCAGTGGTTTAAGCGTTCGCTCGTCATGCCGAAGACCCGGGTTTGATTCCCGACATGGGTACAATGTGTGAAGCCCATTTCTGGTGTCCCCCGCCGTGATATTGCTGGAAAATTGCTAAAAGCGGCGTAAAACCATACTCACTCACTCCTCCTGTCCACACTCCGATCCACACTCCCATCACCCTCCCTCCACTCCCTCCACTCCTCCCGTCCACACTCCCATCCACACTCCCATCAACACTCCCATCAACACTCCCATCAACACTCCCATCAACACGCCCATCAACACTCCCATCAACACTCCCATCACCCTCCCTCCCCTCCCTCCACTCCTCCCGTCCACACTCCCATCCATACTCCCATCAACACTCCCATCAACACTCCCATCAACACTCCCATCCATACTCCCATCAACACTCCCATCACCCTCCCTCCCCTCCTTCCGTCCACACTACTATCCCCTCTCCCATCAACACTCCCATCACCCTCCCTCCCCTCCTTCCGTCCACACTACTATCCCCTCTCCCATCAACACTCCCATCACCCTCCCTCCCCTTCTTCCGTCCACACTACTATCCCCTCTCCCATTCACATTCCAATCCACCCTCCGTCCCCTCCTCCCGTCCACAATCCCAACCAAGCTCCCAATCAAGCTCCCATCCCCGCTCCCCACACTGCCATCCACACTCACTCCCCTACTCCCATCCACACTCCCATCCACTCTCCCATCCATTCTCCCATCCACACACCATCCACACTATATCCACTCTCCCATCGATACTCCTATCCACATTTCCATCCATACTCCCATCCTTTACTCTGTTTCTTCTGTGCAGTTTCAAGTCTCCGAGAGCACCATTCAAGACCACCATCCTGGAGACGTGGTGTTTCATCCTGGCAAGTTCCCGGGTGTGTTCACTGAGGCTCTCAGTCCAGGCCGGTGTGGCTTCCTGCCCTCCAACAACTTCCTGGAGAAACACCTGGCCAACATTGCTCCAGGTGAGTGTTGATTGTCCTACACCTGGCCAACAGGTGAGTGTTGATTGTCCTACACCTGGCCAACAGGTGAGTGTTGATTGTCCTACACCTGGCCAACAGGTGAGTGTTGATTGTCCTACACCTGGCCAACAGGTGAGTGTTGATTGTCTTATTACACCTGTTTGAATTGAATTGGCAGTTTGGACTGTAACACACGGTTAATGGTTAAAGTGTTCACTTATCAGGCCTCAGACTGGTTCGGTTCCCACATTGGTGAAATTGGGTAAACCCGACCATGGCGGCCCCACCTTCATGTGGCTGGAATATTGCTAAAAGTGACATAAAACCTCTCACCAAAATATTGCTGGGTGTAGCATTAAAAAACAAAAACAAAACAATCTGCTAAAGCACGAGGGCCTCTGAATGTTGTACATGAGTTCCAGGTGGTGTTGTCAGATGCCCTGCTGGTGGTGTTGTCAGATGCCTTGTGTGTTGTCAGATGCCCTGCTGGTGGTGTTGTCAGATGCCCTGTGTGTTGTCAGATGCCCTGCTGGTGGTGTTGTCAGATGCCCTGTGTGTTGTCAGATGCCCTGCTGGTGGTGTTGTCAGATGCCCTGTGTGTTGTCAGATGCCCTGTGTGTTGTCAGATGCCCTGCTGGTGGTGTTGTCAGATGCCCTGTGTGTTGTCAGATGCCCTGCTGGTGGTGTTGTCAGAAGCCCTGTGTGTTCAACATGTTCCTGGTGGTGTTGTCAGATGCCCTGTGTGTTGTCAGATGCCCTGCTGGTGGTGTTGTCAGATGCCATGTGTGTTGTCAGATGCCCCATGTGTTGTCATATGCTCTGTGTGTTGTCAGATGCCCTGTGTGTTGTCAAATGCCCCATGTGTTGTCATATGCTCTGTGTGTTGTCAGATGCCATGTGTGTTGTCAGATGCCCCATGTGTTGTCATATGCTCTGTGTGTTGTCAGATGCCCTGTGTGTTGTCAGATGCCCCATGTGTTGTCATATGCTCTGTGTGTTGTACATGTTCCTTGTGGTGTTGTCAAATGCCCTGTGTGTTGTCAGATGCCCCATGTGTTGTCATATGCTCTGTGTGTTGTACATGTTCCTTGTGGTGTTGTCAAATGCCCTGTGTGTTGTCAGATGCCCTGTGTGTTGTCAGATGCCCCATGTGTTGTCATATGCTCTGTGTGTTGTACATGTTACTTGTGGTGTTGTCAAATGCCCTGTGTGTTGTCAGATGCCCCATGTGTTGTCATATGCTCTGTGTGTTGTACATGTTACTTGTGGTGTTGTCAAATGCCCTGTGTGTTGTCAGATGCCCTGTGTGTTGTCAGATGCCCATGTGTTGTCATATGCTCTGTGTGTTGTACATGTTACTTGTGGTGTTGTCAAATGCCCTGTGTGTTGTCTGATGCCCTGTGTGTTGTCAGATGCCCCATGTGTTGTCTGATGCTCTGTGTGTTGTCAGATGCCCTGTGTGTTGTCAGATGCCCTGTGTGTTGTCAGATGCCCCATGTGTTGTCATATGCTCTGTGTGTTGTCAGATGCCCTGTGTGTTGTCAGATGCCCCAAGTGTGGTCATATGCTCTGTGTGTTGTCAGATGCCCTGTGTGTTGTCAGATGCCCCATGTGTTGTCATATGCTCTGTGTGTTGTACATGTTCCTTGTGGTGTTGTCAAATGCCCTGTGTGTTGTCAGATGCCCCATGTGTTGTCAAATGCCCTGTGTGTTCTCAGATGCCCTGTGCGACCTGCTGACCACAGACATGTTGTCCATCTGTTTCCACAAGATCACGAAGCAGGAGGAGATACTTCAGTGGATCTTCTTCATCAGTAAGTTCAGACACCTCATTTCTGGTGATTTGTCAGATTATTAAATTAAATTAAATTCAGCATTTATATAGCACTGCTTATCCTGATATGATGCCTGCTCAAGAGAGCTCAGTCTTATGCTCTTTTGCAGAGTTTTGATTTGAAGGTGTTGACATCTTCAGATCCCCTGACATCAATGGGCAGTGCATTCCATAGAGTTGCGCCTGCTTTTCGGAAGGTTCTGTCGCCATATGTTGTGTGTTCTGCTGTTTGGTGGAACAGCAAGCTGTAGTTTGTTTGCAGATCTCAGTGTTCGTCCAGGTTGGTAAAGGGCAGTGAGTTCCTGGAGGTATACTGGGGATAACCCATGGATCGATTTGTAGACAAACATGATCAGCTTGAACACGATCCTAAGTCTCACAGGTAGCCAGTCCAGCTCTTTCAGGACGGGTGTAATGTGTTCCCACATTGACTTCCGTGTAATGAGTCTGGCAGCACGCTGTAGTCTATCCAGATGATGTTGCTGGATACCATACAGAAGACTATTACAATAGTCAAGTCTTGATGTTAAGATTAGTTAAATCACCCTCCCTACAGCCCAGACTTAGCCCCCAGTGACTATATCCTGTTCCGGCAAATGAAATCTGCCCAACGTGGGAGACGCTTCTAGGATGACAGGAATATAAAGGCTGCCACAGAGGAGTGGTTAGAGGGCCAATCTGCGCATTTCTATGAAAGTTGTGTTAAAAGCATGAAGGACAAATGGAATAAGTGCATTGGGGTGAATGGAGATTATATTGAAAAATTAAAGTGCAAAAGTTATTCTGCGACTTGGTCTTATATTGAAGTTGCAAAACTTATTGAACGCCCCTCATATCTTGCTATCTGTCCGATGTTCCTGATGTGAAAGAAAGCTGTCTTGCACGTACTGCCTACGTAGTTATCTAGACTGAGTGTTGAGTCAATGATAACAACAAGATTTCGGGCACAAGAATTTTGCTCAACGGGTACAGTCCCCAATTTTCAAACCAGGAACTCGTACTTTGGACTGCATCTGTTTAGAGCTGATAATCAAGAGCTCAGTTTTGTCATCATTAAGTTTGAGAAAGTTGCTGCTCATCCAGCATCTGATGTCATCTTTGCAGCTTGAGATTGCTTTAAAGGTAATGCTGGCTGATGATGGTTATTTTTTTAAATTTTTTTAATTGATCTGTCAACCACAATTTCATGGCCTTGAGAAGGCCTTGAGAAGGTCTTGAGAAAGCCTTGGGAAGGCTTTGTGAAAGCCTTGAATTTGTTGAGGAGTAATCTGTACAACCCTGTTCAGGAACTAGAAATAGCATCTCATGTAACAAGAATTCAGAACTCCATTTTTTGCTCTTTTCACCTATATTTAAAAATCCCAATTGAATAAAATGATTATTTTACTATTTCTCATTTCAATCACAGTAAAAATTGTTTGTTTGTTTATAAACCAAGTATATTAAGAAGATCTATTTGGAGAAAGTTCTGTACAATCAGAGGGATATTACCACATACCAGGGCATTGTTAAACTGAAAATGTTGTCGTCTGGATGGTTTCACGAGGAGCTGTATCTTCCAGAGCATTAGGGGTGGCCGGGTAGCCAAGTGGTTAAAGCGTTCTCTCGTCACGCCAAAGACTCGGGTTCGATTCTCGACATGGGTACAATGTGTGGAGCCCATTTCTGGTGTCCCCCGCCGTGATATTGCTGGAATATTGCTAAAAGCGGTGTAAAACCATACTCACTCACTCACCCACTCCAGAGCATCAGGGTCTGACTGTTCTCCTGTATGTTCCAGTGTCAGTACACAGCAACAGCCAAGTGATCCAGGGTTGCAAGAAACTCGTCTTCGACATCATCCACACTCAACTCAGTCTGGAGGACGCCACTCCCACCTGGGCACCAGCGGCACTCGATGTTCTCAAAGTGTTTGTTAATTTTGGTGAGAATTCATCAATACTCAGGCTAGCTCTACCCCATTTTACAGAATGTTAGCACCTCATTCAGCATGGAAGTATTAGAACTAGGTGAAATGGGGTTCAACGTTGTGTTGGTTTAGCATAGAGTAAATCATGAAAAGAATATATCTATTAAAAGTTTTGTAGTTGATTAAATGTTCATTATAAGAAAGCAAACATTTACTGACTGTCTTTCCCCACTTCCACTCTTGACACACTGCTCTTTAGTATTATCAGTGTGAAGGTGGGACCAAAATCAACATGCATGAACTGAAGCGACCTCAGTGCTTCGACAATTGTAGTTCTATGTTAATGTAGGGAGTTGCGGTGCTATTGTAAGTGAACACTGGTCCCCATTCCACAAAGCGATCAGAGTGACAATATGATCGTAACTCCTATACTTTGACATAGACTTACGATAGTCGTAGTGTAAGATCGCTTTGTGGAACAAGGCTCTGGAATTTAAGCTAATGTTAGATATTGAAAAGGCGTCTTGGTTGCCAAAATTCGACTGTGATAGCAATAGGTCTGTGTAATTTCTAACACTAATTAAGACCCTTGATATGACCTGTCATGGACTCTTTTGACAGGTGCTTGTTCCGCGGACTTGCTGCAGCAGCAGGACGTGTTATCACAGGAAGAAATCAGGTAAGGAATCTGTTGGGTTGTTTAAGCGATGAAAATGTTAGTTTTATCCATGGGGAATTTGTCCATCTCCACTGTCTGTTAACATTTTAGATTTGTAAAACATTTTGATGACCATGGGTTCTAAAATCCCACGTTCACTGTGATCTTGTTTCTAGGTTTGATGGCCTTATGTTCAGCTCCATTTCCAAGCTCTTGAGTTTAAGTGATCATACATGATGGAAGTGAAATTTATTTTAAAACAGCATAAATCAGAACTCACCGACTCACTACTGACTGCAATAAATCTCACTTTCACCCCAGAACTTGTGTGACCCCGGAGGATGACAGTAACCTGGCCCCCAACAACAACAACGTTCCGCTGCGGTCGTACTCGGAGAACCTGCGCGAGGTGCTGCAGACCCTGGCTTTCGCGCTGCAGGGGAGGTAACTGTGACCAGCTAGTTGGACACAATCAGCACATGTATTGATCATTTTCTATGCTGAGGGAGACAAGGGAATGGTTGTCAGGGAGGCATGTAGTTGTATATGTAACCTGAAAATAACCAGGGATTGAACACACTATAATCATTCACATTCACCGCAAATAATTGCTTGTGTGACGATAAACATCGCCTGTAAATTTGGAGATCTGGTGATAAGCACCTTTTATCAGCTTTCCTCCCACATAAAGCTGAAGTGCTTTGATTTAATAGAAGTGCTCTCTCACTCACTCACTCACTCACTCAGTCACTCACTCACCCACCCACCCACCCACCCACTCACTCACTCACTCACTCACTCACTCACTCACTCACTCAACTCACTCACTCACTCACTCACTCACTCACTCACTCACTCACTCACTCACTCAACTCACTCACTCACTCACTCACTCACTCACTCACGTGTTGTAGGCCCCAGTACACGGCAGCACAGCTGAACATCCTCCTGGTGATGGTTGCCAAGGCGGCTCTGGACAAGGAGTTCATCAAGTGAGTACTTCAGCATTTCAGCTCTGGGAGGATGTGGCTTTCTGTGATCACCGAAAGCTCTATTCACAGATTCAGGAAATCCAGGTGTTCAAAGACCTTGAGGTCTTTGAATTTTTGACCCCAAAATCTTTACCTGTGGACTTTAAAGTTAAAACAAGGATCCCTTCACTTTCATGCTATTCTGAACAGTGCTTACATTATGTGGAAGACAGACAATAGGCTTGCAGCCTACTCGATGAGGCTGGATATTGTTATTGATAACATTTCCCACCAAAACTGTGCCTCGCTCTGAACCAGCCGTCACAGATGTAGCAGTCGACACTATCAGCTGTACGACAAGGGAGTCAGACATGCCCCGAATGTTACTGATTTTGACTGAAGAATGTCAAAAATAGGTTGAATTTGATATTTGATAAGAAATAAGGTCTGGTTGGCTGAATTTTTCTGTCCAGATCTTGACAGTTAATCCCTGCATCCAGACATTTGATGTATTGTGACATGGACAAGACAATGCTGAAGTACCTTCAACATTCTCATTCTCTTTCTGATTAAATCCTCCTTGGGGCACTTATTGCATTTTCCTTGCTCAAGAAAATCTACATGACATAGTTGTAACCATTTTCCTTAATAAAAAATGTTACCACACAAAAAACTTCGTTTTTGTATGATATACGACCACCCTTACGGGGCCTCACCCCCAACGGCGCCTCACGCCAGGGGGAGCAACTCTCACCCAAATCACTTTCCTTATGTCATCTGTAAGAGACAGACGTGTTGATTTTTCACACAAGACAAAAATAAGAGAAATCTATCGTTCGACAAGAACCATGGCTGACCAAACTGTATGTATGGTACATTTCTTTCATTGCAAAGGCGTAATACCTCGCATTGTGAAGTTATAGAGTTGTAATAATACGCCACGTGCACGGTAATGGCGTCCATATTGTAGTTCCACGGGCTGATACATGTAACACCAAGGCCATTAAGAAACGGCTTGGGGTTTTGTTATATCATACAGCATTGGTCTACAATTTTTTCCTTTACAAAACCCAAGGTGGTGTGTTAATTCATAAACTACACTTACCTTTTTTACGGGTTTTTACACCTTAGCGCGTAACACGCCCCTTTGGTGTTATAATTATACTACGACATTGGCTATTAGTATCGCGTTACAAATCGCATTCTACATTACGCCTTTGCTTCTAGTTTCACAATTTATGCACGTTTCTTTCCGATCTTTATATCGCACTGATACACGTTGATGCCCTTCCCGCCCACCTCAGAAATTACGGTCTTGTTTACAAGACCTTCAAACTGTGTACGGGTTGTTCTAAGACAGGCACGAACGCTGCCTAATATGTCTGGCGGAGGACATTGCCTTTACCCCCTGGGGCCCCCAAAAAGAGACAAGTTGACTTGTTCCACTTTAAAGAGGTCTATTAAAGGCGGGGGTAGATATCAGATCTACTAAGACATCTCTCCCCCCCCCCCCCCCCCCCCCCCATCTAAAAAGGGTAAAAAAGCTGCCGAGATTGTCTCCCCCGCTCCCTCTCCGGGGGCCGGGGGAGAAGGCTCGAGGGTCCCCGTAGTAAGCACTGCACCCTCTCCTGCACTGTCTTTGGCAGACTTTTCTGCGTTACTTAAGTCGCAGATGGCGTCGATGATGGAGGAGGTAAAGTCTCAGCTCCGAGAGGAGATGCGGACCGAGCCTTCCCCGTTGTCGGCGCCGGACGCGGCTTCGAGACCTTGTGATATGCCCGGCGTCGGCCGAGGCAGGCAACTTGGTCTCGAGGATGATCTCAGACCGGGCTTCGGCGCCGGCTCGAGGTCGCTCCCCAGCGGAGGGGTGGCGGGCGCCGGCCCGTGCACTACCGACGCACAATTTTTCCCTAGCGGAGCCAGACGCCTCTTCCGAGGCCGAGGCTTTCACTAGTGGATTCGTAGCCCGGAGCCAGGGGGGTTCCCTTGGTCTCGGGGACGATCCGAGACCGAGCTTCGGCTCCGGCTCGAGGTCGCTCCCCAGCGTAGTGGTGGCGGGCACCGGCCCGTGCACTACCGACGCACAATTTTCCCTAGCGGAGCCAGACGCCTCTTCCGAGGCCGAGGCGTCCACTTGTGGATACCTAGCCCGGAGCCAGGTTGGTTCCCTTTGTCTCGGGGACGATCCGAGACCGAGCTTCGGCTCCGGCTCGAGGTCGCTCCCCAGCGTAGTGGTGGCTGGCACCGGCCCGTGCACTACCGACGCACAATTTTCCCTAGCGGAGCCAGACGCCTCTTCCGAGGCCGAGGCTTCCACTAGTGGATACCTAGCCCGGAGCCAGGTTGGTTCCCTTTGTCTCGGGGACGATCTGAAACCGAGCTTCGGCTCCGGCTCAAGGTCGCTCCCCAGCGTAGTGGTGGCGGGCACCGGCCCGTGCACTACCGACGCACAATTTTCCCTAGCGGAGCCAGACGCCTCTTCCGAGGCCAAGGCTTTCACTAGTGGATACCTAGCCCAGTGCCAGGTGGGTTCCCTTGAACCTCTGGCACCTCGGCACCGGGACTCGGCCTCGGGCCGGGTGCAGAGACACGTGCGGGACAGGATTGTCCATGTACTGCCTCAGGTGGCTGCACCCATGCCAGAGTCGGAGACACCCAACTTGACTAAGGTCAAGCAGGGCCGGCGGTTGCCCCCCCTTTCCCGTGTGCGGTGCGGAGTTGAAGGCTGCTTACATATGCTTCCAGGAGCAATATCATAATGCATGCCAACAGCTCCGTGTGTCCGTACACTCCGCGTATCTGTCGGCTGTACAGAGGGAGTTAGCGGGAGAGGGGCCGGCCGACTCTTCGGAGTTGGCCGCGCAACTAACATTATCTTGCGCGGGACGCTATTCGTAGCTGTGCCTCGCATATGATGTGCGCTGTTATGTGCATGCGCAGGCGGTGGATGTCGGTATCTAAATACTCGACTTACACACGCCAAGACCTACTTGCTTTGCCGTATAAGAGGGTGCCACCCCTGGGGCTCAGCAGGCGGTCCGAGAGGCTGCTCAATTGTATACTTCCATCAAAGACTCATAAGGCCTTGTTGGAGGTACCAAGCGTTAAAACCGCGTAAGCGGGCCTCTCCAATTGTCCCCTCCTACGCTAACGCACGGGTCAGACGTCCACACCTGCTGGGAAGCCGCCGCTTCCTTCAGGTATAAGGGCGCCGGGAGGAGCAAGAGAGGCACGGGCCGGGGCAAGGCAGCTGGTCGAGGCCAACAGCTTTTTCGCGGGGCTGGGAACGATGGGTTCCCATTAGCGCCCGAAGAGCCCCGGGTGAACCCACAGTCGCAAGTTATCGGGAAAACTCATCCGCTCCTCCACTTTTCCGGGATAAAGCACACTCAGGTGCCTGCTACCTGAGAGAAGGCGGAATTCCTCCGTGCCGAGGTCGACGCACTTCTTATGAAAGCTGCGATCGAACCGGGTCCCGAGGGACAGGAAAGCGAGGGCTTCTACTCGACTTGTTTCCTAGTCACCATACAGTGATCTCAACTGTCGAGACAGGAGAATGGCTAACGTCAATAGACTTAAAATACGCCTACATCCACATACCAATACACCCCGAGTTCAAGAAATACCTGAGGTTTTCTTTCGACGGGAGGTGTTATCAGTTCAGGGTTCTACCATTCGGGATCTCCACGGCCCCGAGGGTGTTCACCAAGCTGATGTTGATTCCCGCCCAAGTGGCCAGGTCAAAAGGTCGGTTCTGCCATCCGTACCTCGACGACTGGTTACTAAGAGCTCTATTGCAATCCCTGAGTCAGATAGCTACACAACAAGTGATAGATATTCTGATCACTCTAGGGTGGATGGTCAATCTCAAGAAGTCAGATCTGAGCCCCACTCAGAATCTAGTCTTCCTAGTGGCTAATTTCAACACGGTGAGAGGACGTGTATCTCTGTCACAAGATATCAAGTCCCTTAAGCGCAAGTCACACTGCTCGTACATGGCTCCAGTTACTGGACAACATGGCGGCGACAGTGGATTTGGTCTGGCGGGCGCGCTTGAGAATGAGTCCCATTCAACAAGCACTCCGTCGACTTTGGGCGAACTCGGAAGATCTCGAGACTGTGCTCGAGACTCCGTAGTGGCTCATTACACACCTCCAGTGGTGGACCGAGGTCGGGAATCACTCCCGTTCCGTCTCTCACAGTTCAAACAGACGCGTCACTCTCCGGCTGGGGAGGCGTTCTGAATGATCACACTGCCTCGGGACTATGGTCCCAGCAGGAGATCAAACTGCATATCAATGTGCTAGAACTGAGAGCGGTCAGGTTGGTGTTCCAACGCTTCCCGGATCTGCTTCGTGGCCAAGTGGTTCGTCTAGAGATGGACAACCAAACGGCGATGACTTACATCCGGAAGCAGGGGGGGACGGCGTCTCCGTCGCTTCGACGAAAGACGTGGCAGTTCCTACTATAGTGCGACTCTCACGATATCAGGGTGCTACCTGTTTATCTCCCGGGGGTGGACAACGTCCGTGCGGACGCTCTGTCTTGCCGGATCCTCGCTCCTCACGAGTGAAGGCTCGACCCGAGGATATTCGGGATTTTCTCCCTGTTATACAGGTCGTTACAGGTGGATCGGTTTGCGTCTGGGTTAAATAACCAGACACCAACGTTCTGCTCCCGAGTCCACGACCCGAGGTCGGTGGCACCGGACGCCTTTCAGCTAGATTGGACGGACAGTTCTGTGGGCATTCTCCCCAGTACCTCTGATTTCCAAGGTCCTGTCTCAGCTAGGCACTCAGCCTGCGTGACTAATTGTGCTCCTGGCACCTCTTTAGTCGGCGCAGAGTGGGTTTCCAGTAATACTCAGGTTTCTGGCTCAGCCTCCTGTTATATTACCTTTACGACCGGACCTCCTATCCCAGAACGGGGCCCTCCACCCGAATCTCAGGATTCAATGGGTGGCTTGGCCACTGTCAGGAATCGCCTCCAGAAGAGCGGTATTCCTGCACGAGTTGCAGACACAATACTGGCTTCGCGGAGGGATTCGACAAACGTTCAGTACGATAGATAGGCCTGCTATGCTGGTGTGTCGATAGAGGGATTGCAGATCTTTTTTCTGCAGATCTCGTATCCGTGCTTGAGTTTCTCCAGTCGCGACTAGATGACGGCCTGGCCGCATCAACAGTCCGAGGGTACTCTACAGCTATCGCAGCTTTTCACGTCCCTGTCGACGGGGCACTTCTGGGTGCACACCCATTAGTGCAGCGCTTTTTAGCAGGTGTGGACAGGATCCGACCGCCAGTCCGGCGGATCAGTCCCCCTTGGGACTTGTCAATCATTCTAGATTGGCTGTCCGGTCCTTCCTTTCGGGATCTGTCGTCTCTCTCTCTTCAGCTGTTGAGCTGGGAGACGGCGTTCCTTGTGGTGGTAACGTCCGGCAGACGGGTAGGCGACATTCGTGTTATGTCAGCCGATCCCAAAATAACTGTCTTCCATGGGGTCGATAAATATCACCGGGACAGTCAGTTTTCGTCTACCGGACTATTACCGTCCTAGGGTCGCACACGATTCCACGTGAACGGCTCCTATTGAGCTACCTGCTCTTTCACAGCCTTCCTCGTCGGGGACCACTGCAAGACATGCTCATGTCTTGGATGTCCGCACGACTCTCAAGGCCTATATCAGCAGAAATATGGGTGTCCGTAAGGATAACCAACTATTTTGCTGTTACTGCGGTAGGAAGGTTGGCTTACCTGCGAGTAAACAATCTATCCCGAGGTGGATAGTTTCAACCATTTGTACAGCGTATACGCTTACAGGCAGGGACCCCCCTACCAGGTTGAAGGCTCATTAGGTTAGAGCAGTGGCTGCGTCAAAAGCGTACGCCGCGGCTCTGCCCATTGAGCAGATCTGCTCCGCGGCTATTTGGAGCCAGCCGAGCACGATTCATCAAACCTTACCAACTCGACAAACACTCAAGCGAGCGTACTCGGTTTGGTCAGTCAGTTCTCCGAACTGGGCAAATTTCTAATCTCTAGCTGATTGAGCATTCGAGATTTTAGACAGTCTTCCGGTTATACTGCTCAGTAATGGTCCGGATTTTATCTTCTGCGGTCGATAAATATCAGTCCTTACTACTCGATAATACTCGTATTTTGCGCACGCACTCCTTTGATCCTCGGGGACCCTCTGGCCTAGCTCAGCGCTGGTTATGGTCTCTCGTGATCTACGCCCTTATATCACTTGTTCAAAAAAAGTGTGGGGGGGTGGGAGGTGTTTCGAGTTCTCAACTTATGACAAGCCGCAAAAACAGGCTTTATCATAATATATGGTCGACCACGCCCTGTCTCTAGCCCCCGCCTTTCGACGGTGGTGCCTCACGATAAGGTTGGTTCCATTTATTGAACTCAATATTTTATTCTGTTGAATAATCAAATACGATGTATTTATTTACGCCTGTTGCTGACGGATGCCACTTCCTAGATTATCTTTGGGAGTCTGTCTTGATGCAATAAGTGCCCCAAGGAGGATTTAATCAGAAAGAGAATTTTACAAACCTGTAGAGGTTATGAATTCTCTGATGAAATCCTCCTTGGGGCACGGCCACCCACCTCCCCACATTCCGTCAGCATTTGACATATGGAAAGTGATTTGGGTGAGAGTTGCTCCCCCTGGCGTGAGGCGCCGTTGGGGGTGAGGCCCCGTAAGGGTGGTCGTATATCATACAAAAACGAAGTTTTTTGTGTGGTAACATTTTTTATTAAGGAAAATGGTTACAACTATGTCATGTAGATTTTCTTGAGCAAGGAAAATGCAATAAGTGCCCCAAGGAGGATTTCATCAGAGAATTCATAACCTCTACAGGTTTGTAAAAGTTTCATGACACAAGAAACAGATGGTTTCCGCGTGACTGTCTCCATCGTCTAAGCTCTAACCAACATGGGTTTAAGAAAATCTAAAATCTATTTGAAAGCAACTGAATACAATTGCAGAGCAAAATATTAGGGTGGCACATTTCTTACAAGCACAATAAGTTCTAAAATACCCAGAAAGTAGTATTCTAGACCTTATAGTAAGTCATGTGTTGAATGGAGAGATGTTTGACTGCTGTGCAAGACACCTCTGTGCTGAATGGTATCAATCCTATGATTCAATATGCACACTGTAAGTGCCACCATTTTACACAGTTCATGGGATTTTAATACAACTTAGTTTTGTGGAGGGCTGTTGATGGAAAAGATATTTTGGTGCCAGAATAACTTATCCCAGAACGTTCTTGGACATAGTCTGTGTTGTTTTTGATTGTGTTGTTGCTAATATTGATAAAACAATTAAAAATCCAATTCAAGTTTCCCAGGATTACCTCCCTTGACTTGTGTTTCAGTCCCCAATATTCCACTTCTTGTAATGTTTACTGAAGATTGGGATAGTATAAATTTGAGACCGGAGCCCCGTTCCTCAAAGACGTTCCACAAAGACAATCGTAACTCCCATACTTTGACTTACGACAATGGTAGTGCTACGATCGCGTTGTGGAATGAGGCCGGGCTGATCGTGCTGCCATGGTGTCATGGTGTATTCAAGAGCCACTGGTTCTGCTAGCACAATTCTTTTCAGGCCACTGAGATATAGCTGTGATATTGTTTGATAGGCATTTCTTCTTAGTTGATGGATGACAAAATTTATCGATAACATCTTCTCAATGATACTATTATTGTGATGTTATCGTTTCAGTCTTGCTTTACTACTGTATAAGGATCTAAACTGAAATGTCATTATGATAGTTCATTGTACATTGATAGTACATTCAAGAAGTTGTTGTCCATAAGTTGTGACTAAGCTGGGATATTGCAGACTGTAGCGTAAAACAACATTCACTCCTGACTGTTTCAGCAACATTCTCCTGTACGAGTTCAGTGTCGTGGTCAGCTCCATCCTGCCCTGCTACACACAGCCAGACTGGGACACCGAGGTAGGTGGCAAGCTAAACGTCATGACCCTTCTCTCATGGTGTAATGGATCTGTGAAGATGCAGGTCTTCAGCAACCCATGCTTGTCATAAAAGGCGACTATACTTGTCGTAAGAGGCGACTAACGGGATCGGGTGGTTTCACCTGTGTAGCTCACCTGTGACGTTGCTGTTGTTGTGCTGCAGATGCCGATGCTGTGTTCCAAGCTGTCCTGCATCACCGCCCACCACCACAACCACGTCTACCTGACACAACTCTTCCCCCACGGCAAGCGGGGCAGCAGCATACAGCGGAGACTGGCTTACCTCCTCCTGGTCAAGATGCTGCAGCCAGGGTGCGCTGTCTCCCACCAACAGCTTGCTGCGTTCAAGGTAAGCTATACCATTTCTGATAATACCAGTACACTGTTTGAGGAAGGAAAGAGGACCGGAAGTTAATGATTCATGATTTGGTCAAGTTTGTTTTTGTGTGGCAGTACCTCCAACCTGACTGGTTCTTGTATCAGGTTATAAAAATCTGCGATCAACTAGCTGTCACTGGACTCACAACCTTCGACTGCATTTAACTTGCAACTGGTATAGCCTCATAATTTGTAAAAAGAATTTGTTGGTAATACTGTTCTTCTCCAGCTGACATGTATTCTACAATATTGTGTATCCTGATGATTTTATAACGCTTCAGTCAATTAGTCCTAAGTTGGCTTTAAAGTTTTTGATCATGCCATCAGCTATGATGATGATTTTGGTCCAGAGGATGTAAACATGTCACCATTTTTCTCTTCATTTAAGCTTGTTTCTCCTCATGTGCATGTCTTAATGTAAGCTAATACTCATGGGAGCTTTTCTCCTCCTGTAGTTGATTTTCCTCATGTTGTTTCACATCTAGGTGTTCCTTATAGGTGTAAGTCATATCAATGTTAGGGCTGGGACGATACACCAACAGTGTGATCCAATACGTATCACGATACCTTACTCACGATATGTATCATGATACTTGTATGTGCTCTAATCTGTGGTCTGTAAGCCATCTTTTTCATAGAGAGGACGGCCAAATACCTGGCACACTGCTGATTTACAGTTGGCAGTGTCAAGTATGGCACAATAAATGAAAATATGTATGTTTTCACCATTAACTTGCACAACTGATAAGTGTTTAGTGGAACAGTTATTAAAGCAACCATTTAAGGTCAGAATCAATATTTTTTACTTCGTGTGCGACTGTGATCGATCCTTGTATCGAGAAGTACAAAATGGCGATCCACCGATTCATCGGTGGATTGTCCCACCACTAATAAATGTGTTCTCATTACGTATGTTTTTCCTCACTGAAATATATTTCTCCTCATGTAAGCTGTAAGCTTGTTTCTCCTGTTTCTCCTCCCAGTTGGGCCAGCTGACGGTGTTGTTCCCTGCCCTGAGGGAGCTGGCGACCGATGACCTGTACGCCCTGGCCAGTGGTGTGGCCCTGCTGGACATTGCGGTTGGCAGCGAACCCCTCAACTCCGAGGAGAAGGTCAGTGACCACAGCAGGGATAGATTTAACAACAATTTTGTATGAAGCCAGCAGGGCCTGCTCCTTTTAAAAATTACAGTCCCTTCTCCAAACTAACTGGCCGACAGCTAAATGGTGGAGGTCGCGAAGTAGCCCAATCTGAGGTTACGTAGCCACCTAGCAGGGATCTGAAAATAATATAACTTCTCACCCCTAAAACATATTTTCCTGCACTCTGAGATTAAATATTGGCTTCAATTTGCCTCATTTCATTGTGATTTATGAGCAAATAAAGAAGTTGTTGTACAAAAACACCTTTACAAAATGGCGTCCAGTTGTCATTCTACTGAGATGATAATGAAAAAAATTGAACATACACGAGAAGTAGTGAAATATTGACTAGCCAGAGGGGCCATCTACTTTACATTTCTGCAAGCCCTTTGTAATTTTAACTGAGCAACTCAGTGACGTGCTCATTAATAACTGAATTACTGTTCAAAGTGGTGTTTGACCAACTCAGTGACGTGCTCATTAATAACTGCATTACTTGCTCAATAATGTAAAACGTTAATAATACACCCTTGATGTTGACCTTGCAGGATGACCTTCAGCTCCTGATGGAACAGCTCCGGACACTGACCAGTGATGTTCGGGACAATGTCCGCCGACTGGACCACACGCGGGTGAGTCACACGACACTTGGACCAGCTTCTGTCACAGACGGACAACATTCAGCTTTTTACCTCCGGAGACCTGCCAGGATTTCAGTTCTCTGTACATTAATATATCCTCACCTGTCAGTCGAGAACAGTGGAGTAGGCCAGAGGGTAAAGCGTTCCCTGAAACACTGAAGGCCTGGGTTTGATTCCCAAGATGTGAAGCCCATTTCTGGTGTCCCCAGATGGGATACTGCTGAAATATTGCTTGAAACGGTGTAAAGCCGTACTCACTCTCTCACCTGTCAAATTGAATAACAAGATGGTTATATGTTACTCAAAAGAAGTTAAAGAACACCTGTGTGACAAATGAACTACAGTATTATGTAAGAATACGTGTATGCTGAGTATGTATTATCATTTCCATGACAACCACTAGGGATAAGGTAACATCATATTTGACCTGAGAGCACATGAAAATTAGGTTCAGTGTTAGTATTCCGTCTTATACTGTCACGCCCTGACATGACCTGATATAACTGAAGTACATTTCAAGGCAGTGTTAAACCCAACTCACTCACTCACCCCAACCGTGTTTGTGTCAGGTGAAGGATCTGATGGTGAGGATCTCCAGCAAGTGGACGGTCACACTGCAAGCCACGTCCAGCAAACAGGTGAGTGTTGTGAGGTGTCCAGCAACTGGATGTTCTTGTCAATTGTGTTTGTTTGTTGTTCAACACCGCACTCAGAAATATTCCAGCTATATGACATCGGTTTGTAAATAATCAAGTCTGGACCAGACAATCCCGTGATTGACATCATGAGCAATGATCTTCGCAATTGGGATACGATGACATGCATCAACCAAGTTAACGATTCTGACCACCCGATGCCGTCAGTCGCCCCTTATGACAAGCATAGTTGCCTTTTAGGGTCTTCACGGGTCTCTTGTCAATAAATAGATCAGGTCTTCAGACTCAGTAAGGAATGGTGGGGTAGCCTCGTGGTTAAGGCCAGACACTGCACCTTACAATTGACAAAATGCTTCACAAGTATTTGTTAGTTTTAATTGGTTACAACTTTGAGGTATACATATTAACAATTGAAATGGAGTCTTTTCCAGGTGATGTTGCCACCGGTTGCCATGGAAACATCCAAGATGGCCGCCGCAAGCCTGAAAAAGATTGAAATTAGTTTCAGTTTTTCTCTAAGACCAATAAAGATATTTATATAATTTCAATTGTATAACAAAGCTTGTATGGTGTTGGGTACAATGACAGAGAGAAAAATTAAAAAAAGACTGGTATATATTTTTAAAATAATTTTTCAAAATTTCACATTTTTTAGGTTGATTTTTACCCATAATTTATTTTTTAAAATCAAAATGGCAAACAAATTTTAAAAAGTCTCTCTGTTATTGTGTAAAGTAATCCTCTGCCTATATGTACACCAAATTTCATTCAAATCGGGCCAATAATGGTTGAGATCTATGTTCACTAAGATCCAAAATGACGTTAATGGAGAAAATGAGGAAATAAGTTTGTATATGGTTTTCTTCCTTCAGCACCTATTAAACACTTACAAAATCTTAGTTTACTGATGGGATGTATTCAAGATACATAAAACAATGCATGTACAAAGAAATAACAGGACTTAAAACTCCCCAGCACCATACAACAAGCCTTCAGCTGCCTCAACATGAACTCGGTCCCTTTTTTTAGCCTCCCACTTTGCACTACGTTCTATCTTAGATGTCTCCTGGCTTTGCTTCCTTGCTTTGAGGGTTCTCACATTATCAAGTCTTTCAATAGAAGCTGCTGTTATTTCATTAGCTTCTATTGCAAGCTTGTTAATTACCTGAGTAATGTGACATGTACCCTCATTGAACGAAGCTATTGCAGACGCCACTGCCTGATGCAACCGCCTTGCACCCACAAAAATGGTCTTCGGACAACGGGACTAGATCACGGAATGCAAGCATTCATTAGCATTCTGTGTCTTGCCTTTCACCATCCTCTTAAGGAGGTTTTCATCAGACATTCTTTGATACACAGGTACCATCTTTTCTGCAATTTCTGCATCAAGACAATGTCTGATGTTGACAAAACTTCCTTAGTATTTTCAACAACAACCTGTGAAAGAATGTTTTGTTTTTGTTGAAATGTCTTAGGATGGAGACCTTCCATTCCAAAACCCAGACAAAACATTTTCATTGCAGCATGACCAAGTCCTACCTCTGACAGAGCATAAAAATGTCATTGACCTGAAAGGGATTGGTACCAGATTGATTACCTTACCTTTGTGAAGTGTAATTTTTGGCAACACACATCTGACAGTTTTGACATGTCAACATAACGTTTACAGCAAATCCAAATCTATCAAAATTGTCACTCTTTTCAAACAACAAAGACCCCTGTTCGTGACATGATAGGCATTCAATCTCTTGAAAAAATAAATTCATTTGTCTCATGTCAATTAACATCCATTGAGGTTTTGGTTCATCATTGTCAAGCACGGGAGATTTGATATTTTCAGCAGCTTTAAATTTTGATAGTTTTATGTCGCTGCGTGAAGTTGCATTCAATAAAAAAGAATTCTCACCTTCATTGTCTCCAACGGGGATGTTTTCCCCAACGGCGTGGTCCCCGGATGATTCCGATGCATCTAAAACGTCCAAGCTGTCAGAATCTGACACAGGGATGATCGCGCTGTCAACACGGGTCGTAACTCTAACACCGCATTTCGAACGTGCCTGCTTCAACTGACTTGCCCTTCGCCTCCTATTCTAACCATAGGCGTGTTGTGACCCGTGTTTTGACCTCATTTTAAAAAAATACAACAATTTTCAGTTAAGAAAATATCAAAAACGATGTTTGCCTGTCAATCTTTTCGCAAAGCAGCCGCCATTTTGTATACCTACCGGAAAAGACCGGTGTTTTGTTGCTAAGCCGAATGGTGCATTGTGGGATACGTTTTACTTTATTTGGATCGAACGAATATTCCCGAATGTTGCATTACGGGATATTTCTCCTTAAATGGTAATTTACGTACGAATGTCTCGCGGGAAAAACCGACGATAGCCTCACGTGGAATATCTATTTTTAGAATGTTTTTGCACAGAAAGATGGCGGAAACGATCAGCTTTCTATCGATGTATAACATGAAGGGGTTCGTTACAGCTACGGGGGCGTTGTCATGGGTGAAAGTTCAGGTTTTTCCACATTGATTACGATCATATTTAAAAACAATACCACACATTATGATTTTAATAACGTTTTTTATTCAGTAAATGTACACAATATCGTAAAAAACATGTTGCATCACAAAGTACATGTATTATATATGCGAAAAAAATCAAAATCTCGATTTTGACATATTGAAGCAATCATGTTAATTTAAGGTGCCGTGTCTGGCCTTAATGTCTTCGGTCGTCATGCCGGAGACCTGGGTTCGATTCACGACATGGCTACAATGTGTGAAGCCCATTTCTGGTGTCACCCGCTGTGATATTGTTGGAATATTGCTGCAAGTGGCATAAAACCATTCTCCCTCGCCCACTCACTCCCTCAGGCTCAGTAATGTGGCTGATTGGGTGTCATTGGACTCTGCTGTCATGCATTGTTGCTCACAATATCAACCACCTATTTGTTTCAATTTCAATTATTTTATGTTCCAGTCATGTAGCTGGAATATTGCTGAGTGGAACCTTGAACACCAAATAAACAACAATGTCATTTAAACCCCATGAATGATACAGGCTGGCTACCATCGTTTTATTGTAACCTTGACTACAGGTCTAGGAAGATTCATTCAGTAAACATGGCTTTAAGCGTGCAAATGTCAGCAGTTAGCACCTCCCACGAATATCTTATGTTTGCTGTAAGATCTGACTTAGGATTGGTTGTTATGAAGTGTGACTTGGTTGATTGCGTGTCTTTCTGCACCAACTGCATTGGACGCCTCTGTGGTCTAGAGGAAAGTCGATGGTTTGATTCCCGGCCACGTCAAACCCAAAGATGTTAAGAGATGATACTTGTTACCCTTGAACTGTTTGATAGGCATTTCTTAGAAGTTGACGGATGACAAAGTAGACACAATTAATGGACAACTTCTTTGTTTTACTGTAATGGCGACATTTTGGTATAGACAACGGTATAAGGATCTATACGAACATCAACATTACAGTAAAATAAAGAAGTTGTTATCCATAAACTGTGTCTACACTTGGTTGTTACCCTGCCTTGCACTTGGCAATAAGGGGATGAAACAAGGACTGTGGCTAAGTAGTATTTCAGTGTACTGGCACTACAGGACAAGAGTTAGTCCACATGAGTACAAGCTCTCCATGGAGATAGTGCTTGATCTCACCCCAGTGGTGTCTCCCGTGGTTACCAGTTTGGGATGATAAATCCATTTATTTCTGGTTACAGAGAAGCCTGTTCGCTTGGACCAAGCAGAAGTCTCCGCAGAAGATGCAAGTCCAGAGACTGGAGACCGGGTCCTCGGATCAGGACTCGGAGGAGGAGGAGGAGGAGGAGGACACAGATGTCCCTGGAGCAGATCCTGCTCACAAACCAGACGACTTGTCTGTTCCCATGGAAACAGACACCTGTGTGGACAGTGACTCCAGACCTAGAGAGGTATCACGTACAGGTTTTCCAAGTGATGGTGTTGTTTCTTGTGTGGAGAATACTGGCAAACCCAACATCGTGGACTCTGGAGGTGGTGGGGACACAGCCCAAGCTGGGGATGTGAGGGTGAAGAGTGAGGAATTGAGATCAAAACATAATGGAGGTTTGACATTGAACAATGGAGATTGTGATGGTACCCATCTTGTGGACCAGGACAAGTCCAGTCTAGAGGCTGGGCACGGAGGGGAGGAGATGAATCAGAACAACAGTGCCCTGGTCGTGTCCAAGTGTGGAGGATACAGAGACATCAAGATGGAGAGCGAGGTGAGGGTCTTACTCACGGACATTGGGCAGGTGGATTCCGAGGACATCGAGGTTTCTTCGGGGGAAGAGAGCCTTCCTGAACTTGACATTGTGTGATGGGGCCAGTTTCTTTTCTTTTTATATATAAAGTGGAAAGTACCATGAAATTGTGATTGTTTGTGTTGAGGGTTGAGGTGACAGACATTGGGGGGCTGTCTGCTACGTGACTTAAGAACTACCTGAAATCTATGTGCTTGATGTTCCTGAGTGTCTTGGGCTCACTGCCATATTTCCTCCGCATTGAACTGGAAGAATAATCATAGACTTTATAGCAGGGCTGACTGTTGAATGGATTTTTTACAAAGGGACATAACTCCCAACCCATGATTTGTCTCTGGGACAAAACAGATGTAACCGGAACTGACTGTATTCCAAGAAATGGCTGCTTGCATAATGTCTCAAGTCCAGCATTGCTGTTTATTGGAACAAGGATGAGTGTTTCAGATCAATGGTTGAATGAATATTCACATATGAATGTCTGTTGAATGTCTGAACATATGATCAACCTTGTACTGTAGCTAACATGATGAGCTCCCTGGGGATGACCCAAGTCAGAAGGGGGCATTTATCAGGATCCTGTCGGCTGCTTTTAAGGTATAGTATTGACAGGAATGTTGGGTGTCATTTAACAGAGCTACTGGCTGCAATGTTGGTATGATATCTCCTGGAATGTGGGTTATAATTTGAGAGATACTGGCTTCCATTACATTATCATGTTGATAGACAGGAAAGTGGGGTGTCATTCAAAAGAGCTACTGGCTGCTATGTTGGTATGATATCTCCTGTAATGTGGGTTATAATATGAGAGATATTGGCTACCATTACATTATCATGTTGATTGGGGGTGGGGCATTTGGCAAGCTATTGGTTTCAATTAGGCTAAAAAACAAATGGTCTTGGTTCTTTTTTATTTCCATTTTATTTTATTTTTCCAAAATCCATAAACTTAATAACATCGGATCAAATTTTGCACGCAGTTACCTCCCTTTACATGACACTGCTTTACTGCGCATCTCGTGTTATTGTCATGGAGACAATAGGAGTTTGTATGCTTGTTTATATAGGGAGGCCCTTTCCAGGTTACCATGGTTACAGTTGTGTCTCCAGCAGGGGTGCTGATACATGCAAGCCGAAGTGTTAACATGTGATAGAATGAATGTCTGTTGGCCAAATAAGGAAGGAAAGTGCTTATGGGTGTGAGAAGAAATATTTGTGATACTGACCAAAGAAATTAGATGGTGTCAGACACCTTGGCCGTTGTGTGATGAATATATGTGTGTTGTTAAATTCTGTTGTATATTGACCATGATGAATATGTCCACAGCCTTCAAGTTGTACCGCCACATGCAAATGTTTTTTAAATAGATTTGAAATGTTGACAAGCCTTTAAAATTATTTCAGTTTTTGGAAGAGAATTTATGGATGTCAATTTCTTTATTAAGAGGAACACATCGTTTCGGAGCATATGCTTACTCCTTCATCAAGTAAATAAATTCTATGAAGCAGAGCATATATATATGTACCTGTAAGAACAACGAAAGTAATAAGATAACAAAGGTGGAAATTTAACAGGGGAAGCCAACAGTTAACCGTTAATTAGCACTGATAGGTGATATCTACCCAGTGCTTGGGACTTATTGCTTTGATTATTGTCTGTGCTCACCTCTTATGCTGCAGTTTCCAGCCTTAGTGAGTTGGGGGAAGAGTTGCGTCCCTTCGGCATGCCAGAAACCAATGATTTTGGGTTCAAATCCCGGTTTGCCCCGATTATGTTTCTTGGTTTGTCAGCACCATACCCATGCTCGTGGGTTTCACCGAAGTGGTAAACGTCTGAGACCTGCATCACTTCGGACTTTCCTCCCACATTAAGCTGACACGCCGCGATATAACTGGAATACTGTTAAAAGCGGCGTTAAACCCAACTCACTCACTCAACCCTGAGTGAGTGTACTAAAGTTTACTTCAGGTTAGCTAATTGTCGGTGCTAGTTATCCAGCTGGCTTCCACTTGTCCATTGCCATTTCCAATGCTATTACCATGATTACCTATCAGACTTAATTACTTCCTGCCTCCTGTTTGCCTATTACCAATCAGTGATACTTGAAGTCCTGGGCCCCGTTCCTCAAAGCCATCTTAGCGCTAAGGTGATCGTAACTCTCATACTTTAACACTGACTTACGATGGTCGTAGTGCTAAGATCACGTAGTGGAACGAGGCCCTGGCTTCCAGTTGTCCATTGCTATGACCTCTCAGCACTAATTAACTGTTAAATGTCCAAGAAAGTCAATGGTGTTGTTTGGAATGTAGATAATTCCTAACATTAATAATGGTGCAAGGATAAAGCGGCTGTGTCTGTGGTATCGGGTTGATCCCTTAATGCTGGTGGGCGTGGAGAGAAATGCCCTTTATATGCCCCGGAATGATATCTGTTTATATCCTCCCTTGCAGCAAGGATAAGCACCCTGATTTCCCTGATCGGTGAGGCTTTTGTATGTGACAGCAGTCAGGACTGGGGCAGTGTTTACAAATGACTTTGAAAAGATAACTTTCACCCTCAGCTTCTCATAATCCATGCTCCAGGCATACCAATGTTGATTGCCAGGCACACCAATGTTGATTGCCAGGCACACCAATGTTTGATTGCCAGGCACACCAATGTTGATTGCCAGGCATACCAATGTTTGATTGCCAGGCTAAGATAGTGCTTCTTAAAAAAGTCTTCTAGGACATTGTAGACCTGATGCTGAGCAGTCACTCTTGTTCAATTTGCCAAGACATTGTTTACCTGCCAGAATTTGTATTTAAGCATCATTTTCAGTGAATAATAGTTTTGATATTTTGCAGGATAACCCCATTTATCATTTGCAGAACCCAAACATCTGCCATTAATTGCCCTAAGAAGGAGAGCAAATTATAATCCCCTGAAAAATAGTGTTTTGATTATTATAGCTAAAAGTGATAGTGTTTGATCTTAGCGGGATATGATCCCTAAGACAACCTTCTGGGTTAGAATTGGTCTTCAGCAACCTAAGAGGTGACGAAAGGGATTGGGGGGTCAGACTCGCTGACTTGGTTGATGCATGTCATCATATCCCAATTCCGTGGATCGATGCTTATGATGTCAATCACTGGATTGTCTGGTCCAGACTCAATTATTTACAGACTGCAGTCATACAGATGGAATAATGCTGGGTGCAGCAATATAAAAAGAAACATCTTGGGCTCGTCTTTCACTTGCATAGAAAGAAACATCTTCCAAGGCTAATGCAACAAATACTATTTATTGTTATGTTTGAATGCGAGTATATTCTATGTGTTTGAGCAAGTCGGAGATTATTTTATGTAATAAAAGTTCTCCTTCCACGATTGGTTCTGTTGATTCTTCTACTTGGTTCATGTGGATCATTGACTTGGATCCGTTGGGACTCCAGGTAACGTCCCAGCAACCTATGCTGGTTAAAGAAGGTGAAGGGTGGGTGGGTGAGTGGGTGGTCCCGGAATGAATTAATAATTCAAGATCGAAACAAAGCAAAATGAATTTAATGACAGAATAGAATTTCCTTTCACCCATACTTGCATCAGTTATCACTTTATATAATCTTGGAAACAGTAATGGTAGTACATCCCTATCCATGTCACATATCCCAGCACTGTCAACATTTATACTTCTTAACATGATAAAGGCACTAGTGTCAGTGCTGACTAAAAAACAAAGTTGAACTCAATTTTGTCAACATAAAAATGAATTACTCCACAGACACAACCCAATACTCCATTCTACAAAGCAAGTACAAGCTTGGACATTTGGCAGTTGTGGGAAGTTGAACTGTAGTCGTGCAAAACCAGCTATATTTAACAAATGTTTTATCTGGGATAACACTTTCTTTTGTAAAGTACAGATTCTCGTACTTTTTGGGGTTGAGTCCCGTCGGGGATTCACCCAATTGCCAGCACTCAAAGTCAACGATCTACCCACTCAGCCATCCAGGCTTCCACAAAAATAAGTCTGACAACTGGTAGTCTAGATTGTATACTGGCGTGTGCTGGCGATTAGGTGCCTCACTCAGGCAGTGTGGGTTAGATCAGTGACTGTGTGCTGGCGATTAGGTGCCTCACTCAGGCAGTGTGGGTTAGATCAGTGACTGTGTGCTGGCGATTAGGTGCCTCACTCGGGCAGTGTGGGTTCGTATCCAGGACGGGACTCAACCAAAGACAGTACGAGAAGAGGTGTGAGAGATGAGGGTACTTGAAGGAGGAGACAGGGGACAGTTCCATGGCATTTTGGTCTTGTTATAAACGTGCCACAATTTCAGCTGAAGGATCTACTGAGGACCGTCAATGTCCACAATCCACAAATAACTAACACAAGCAAGGACTGAGCTGCACTAGGTGATTTTTTTCTTTATTTTCTATTCACCCAAAATGCTAATTGGCTTGTAATAAATCTGTACAACAAACAATAAAAATAGAGGTTTATCTCCGTTTGTCATAAGTGCAGTTATTATTTATGTGTGCCACAATTGCGACTGACATAATGGTTGCCATTGTGATTGACATAATGATTGGCATTGTAATTTGCCTAATGGTTGCCATTGCGATTGACATGATGATTGACAATACAATTGACATAGTGGTTGTTATTGTACTATATTACCCTCTGTATATATGTATATGAAGAAGTAGACAGCAAAACTGTTGTATATCCAATGTTTCGGACTATTCCATCAAAATAGGGACCAGCTCGAAGGTTCAATGTCGGTTCCAAAACTTAATTCCTTTGTAAGTTGTAGCAGGGTCACGGGTACATGAAGTACCACGGCCAGGAGGCGAGGGGTATAAAACCTGTAGAGGGACGCAGAAAACCCCATGTACCCCGAGACATCCTGCTACAACAAATGTATCTTACCGACATGTTTTCATATGACATTGTAAAAGAATTCAAACAAATTCAAAATTGATAGACAACAGCTGTTCCAATACCGTGAGATCTCGTCATTCTGACATGGAGGGCAGCTAAACATTTTTAGACACACCCCCAACCCCTACAAAAAACTAAACTTAGGAAATGTTGAAGTCCGGAGTTTTGTGTCCTCTTTTGTCAATCATTCTTGTGTTTTCCCCAGCATTTTCAGAATGTTTATTGACTGAAGTTTATTTACTATGCATGGGCGGATACAGCTTTTTTGAAAAGGGGGGGTGCACAATTAAGATCTATTTATTGTCTTTGGTGGTTATTTATACAGAAATAAAGATTTTTTTCGAAATAAAAAGGGCGGGTGCGCACCCCCCCCACACACACACTTCTGTATCCACCCATGACTATGTGTTGAAAACCATTCGTAGGGTTTTTATAGATCAAATCTGCCATTCTATATGACACGCTGCTCGAGATGGACTTCCCACTATTGCTGGTTACAATATAAAACACTGAGAAATCAGGAAAGTTGATTTTGTTGCATGGAAAACTTGCAGGGCCATTTACCCCCCATCCCTAAAGTTAAGGAATTAAGATTTTCAACTGACATCAACTTTGGAACTGGTCTCTGCCATATCATCATTGGGATAACGATGCATTCAAAAGTTGTTTTAAACTGTACAACAAATAGCATGTAGGACAAAATGGAGGGTCCTACCTTAGAATCGGAATAAATAAATGATAAAAAATGAATTTGTTTTACCAATTAAAGACGATTGCATGCAAGACATTTATAATTAGCCCCATGCAAAAATCATCAAATGAATAAGTATAACAGAACTGCATGATCATGTGTCTGTTATTGCAAGATGTGCTGTGATCATGACGGTCACGGTGTGATTAGAATCAGTACGAGGACGGATCATATTGTAACTATGACTGAGTAATGCATAAATGTACTTGACTACTGAGGTAAATCACAACAACCTTCTCATTTCTGAACACGTTTCCCCGTGTCTCGAGAACATACCAGCTCACCTGTCTCTGATGAGTTCAAGTACAACACTATCATATGATTAAAGGGAGACTACTCTACACTTTGTAACTTTTGGTTTGTGTGTGCACATCTTAGACAATCTGTTTGTGCAGTTAATGAAACACTTAACTACTTGATTGCCATGTGTTTAAATTTCATTTGGCAGACAAGCAAAATGTTTCTGAATGACACTAGCTGGGACTGCCAATTTGCCAGTCTAGTTCTCTGACTCGGGGGTGGCAGGAACCATGGCAAGTCTAGGCTTTCAAGGGGGAAGATAATGTTCATACAACAATAGGAACGTATTGATCTGTGTTATTGATGCTATAAAGACCCTGCTATTGATGATGAATATTTAACCCACCACAGAAAGAAAATAAATGTAGGTAACTACTTATAAGTTTCAACCACAACCAATGATTGATTATCAACCCTGTGTGTCCGCACTTGGAGGACTGTCTGCTCTTTTGTTGAATGTCCACTAATATCCAAAAATTATCCCAAGTTTATTCAGGTATACAATTGACCTGACTGTGCATGTGTTTGTGATGGGTGCAAACAATGGGGCAGGATACACCCACCTTTTTGCGAGCACAGCAGTTGCCCCCCTTGGATTTTTCATAGAAAACAGTTTTATTTGAATCATGAAAATACAAGTTGGGGACAAGTGATACTTGTACAAATACTTGCCCCCCTCCCTCTTGAACTATTTTAGTCCATCTGTTAAATAAATGGACATATTTATCGGTTAATTTGTTACAAGTATTTACTGTGGGTATTTTATAAATACAATGTGTATTGACTGAATAAACACAGTGTAGCATGAAAACAATGACTTAGTGAGATCTGTCTCGCCTCTAAGAACTTTCTAGCGATAACGTCAAGGAACTTAAATGATTCTGTTCAATGCTGCAGCAAACGAATGAAAACAAAATGCAAATATTTTAACAGACAATAGTGAACCAGCTAACACAACCTTTGCAGGCAGAATCATGCATCCGACTACAGCAGATATTACAGCCTCCGCTCTCTCTTTTTACCTAAAATATTTCATTAGGTCTAAAAGAATATTTGCTGCAACTCCAATGTAGTCTGTAATGCCCATATTCATATTCATTTGAAACATCTGCTCATTGACTCCAATATAACCCCCCAAAACCCAATGACAAGATGGACGTAGTTAACTGTTAAATGGAATAACCTGGGATCTCTGTGTAGACCAGCTAGATGTTTGACCAGTCTCTGTGTAGACCAGCTAGATGTTTGACCAGTCTCTGTGTAGACCAACTTGATGTTTGACCAGTCTCTAAGTAGAACAGCTAGATGTTTGACCAGCCTGTGTAGACCAGCTAGATGCATGTTTGACCAGTCTCTATGTAGACCAGCTAGATGTTTGACCAGCCTCTGTGTAGACCAGCTAGATGTTTGACCACACCCTGAACATGAGTTGTGTCTCTTGAGACATCATTCAGTTTGTGCACACAGAGAATATGGACTGTAGATAATTATTGGTTAGTTAGCTTACTGTCCAAGTGTGACAATCTGGTCCGTAACCGGTGTCCAAGTGTGACACCCCCGTCCATAACGTGTCAAAGAGTGACTCCAAGATTGATGTAAAACCTGAACACTGTTGACCTATAACACCACTGGAGCCACTTGGGGACAATGTATTGTATTAGCGAAATGTTTTCAGGCAAATCACTCCCGGGTTGATTCATGAGTACGAATTGCAACACACCACTAGAAGATAAACCAATAACACCATATAATAAATCTGAAATAAAATGATCAAACTGCACATAAGTCCCAATGCTATACACATAAAATATGTACTTCATTTAACAATAAAATGTCAATGCACAATTACATAATTTTTTTTCTAACACCACGTTTCAACAAGTGCGACTATAAACAACAAAATAATGTTTCCACTGTTTCCGACTGTTCCGTGGAAGACCAAACCAACAGCTGTGCCTCATTCGTACGTTATGTAACAGTGCGTGGTCACGTGGTTTGGGTGATCACCGCTGTATCCGTCGTGTCCGCTTCATGTGGTAGAAAAGCCTTAAGTGATGCAGGACCCTCGATCCACAAAGCAATCATAGTGCTATGACAGTCATAAGTCCATGTTAAAGTATGGGAGTTACAATCATCATAGCACTACTATCGCTTTATTGAACGGACCCAGTTTTTGAGACGTGAAACCCACGAACACAGACATCGTGCAGACAAACAAAGAATCAATATCAGAACATATTCTGGGTTCGAATTCCGATTTCACAATGATTGGATGACACATCAGCCAACCGTTACCTAATAGGTCGAGGATCGCAACCCATCAACACCCTTTGTACGGCAAGCATTGGAACTCCAGGCACCAACGGAAAACACATATACAGTTGTATAAAAATAAATATTTGGATGGTTAAGAATGGCACTTTAGACACTATTGGTGCCAATGTGGCATGTCCTGTAGAAGTGGCTCTTCTTCACGTTGGATGTCCTTTCTTTCTGGGAGACACCGGAGATGGGCTACACACACTGTACCCATGTGGGGAATGGAACCTAGGCCTTCGGCGTGATGAGCAAACGTTTTACCACTGGGCCCTGTGTGTATGTAGCAATCATCAGACACTTCAGGCACACGGTCAATGCATACAGCTTTTTTCCTTTCGAACATGTTTCAACTGAAACTTTTGCAAAATAAGATGGACAATTGGAGGGTTTGTAGTATAAATAGTTCTTTTTTTCATCTTGAAACCAAACTCCAAGCTCTTCCCTTTCAAACACAAAGGGTCCTTACAGAATTCTCACAGTGGATCTCTGACATAGCTGACTCCTGCCATGAAAATAACATCTCGCAAGTTTCAAGTATGATCTCAAACTCTGCAGTTATGCTCAGTGTACTCTTCGCTGTATCAGTTTGTATTTTTATTAAATGAATAAAAACGTAATGTGATATAAAGACGCCTGGAGTCACGCCAAGACAAGAGTTTCAGAATCGTCTCTCGTCATTACTTGGTAACATCACGACGGAAAGACCATTCACTAATGCCCTTTTTGTAAATGTTTACATCAAAATATAAACAAAAGCCCAACCATATTACTTTGACGTGAGATGACATCATTCTGATAAGCAATGGCATTGTTAATATTGAGATCAGTTTGAATTTGTACAACATGGCGTTTGCTAAACTTGTCTCCCTCTTGCAGCAACACAGCACACATCCATCCATCATGACGTGGTGATGGAAATAACACAAAACAAATGTATCACAGTGCGTTAAATATGATGCCATATCACACACTGGCTCATATGATATACACTTATATCCCCTATTTGTGGGATAAACGGCGACCCGTGTGACATGCTGGTTTCATGTGAAGAACATCAAGGCAACACTTGTCTCTTTCCATTCCTTACGAGAAGATCCGGAATGACATGATTCGTGAATGTTGTTTTCCACTCGTTTACGAGATGCTCCAAGCCCACAGCCCCGAGTAGATCAACATAGAGACCCCGATCAGCCCAAGGAAGGACACGAGAATTGATGAGTGCCTGGTGTGACGAACGGTTTCGATGACGCGGGAGGGAAGATGGGTCTTGAGGATGAAGCCGAACAACAACATCACCACCACCACCTGCGCCATCACCAACATGGAGTCCTTGAACATGTCCTGCAACACACACAGCACCACATTACAACATTGAACTGATTAAAAGACGTCACAAATGGCTTTGTCTTCCAAAATGGAATATTATTCTATAATGGTTCTGCAAACAAATTTTACTTTATTCACTGTAAGGACTTGTCTAACTGTTGGATTCTGTGTCCCTATTCAAGGAAGGGTATAATAGGTTAATAAATATAGGAGAATGTCCAGGCCACTAATGACGACACAAGAATGTCAAATGACCCTATTGTTTAAGCCAGGACAGGGAGTCCGTGGAAGCTGGCATTTTTGCATATACAGTAAATCATGGTCATAAGGAACTCAAAGGGGCCACTAATTTTAGTTCTTATAACCGTAGTTCGTTACAAGGATACATACAGCATATACACAACAAATGGCCTGGACTATAAAAGATGTTCATTATTTCGGTCAGAGTGTTCGTTATAAACGTAGTTTACTGTAATATATAAGGATTTCTTGTGTATCATACTATCAAGTGCAAGAGCAGTTGAAAGGGTGTTGATAAATACAATGTATTGGTGAATGTCTAGACCACTAATGGCAATACAAGCATGCCAATTGACATAAATGCAAAATAACACAAAAGCAGTTAAATGGTTTTAGTACTTAAGACATTTTCAAATAACATCGATCCTCGAACATTTTACAGCTCTCCACCAACATTGATGCTTTATTAATGACCTGATCAATTACTGACATCAGTGAGGGAGATGGGCAGCCTTTGTGTCTTCTAGAGTAGTGCAGCAGAATGGAACAAGGAAAGAGTCAGGACCACTTGTGAACACTCAGTTTCACGCACACAAACTTTTCCATTCTCGTCCCTTCTTTCATACACTTCTAAGAAGTCTCCCCTCACCATAAAACAATTACTAATAGTTCAATTAAAACTCTGCGTTAACAACAATGTGTTGTAATATAGAGATATACTCCATGTGTTGTAATATACAGATATACTCCATGTGTTGTAATATACAGATATACTCCATGTGTTGTAATATACAGATATACTCCATATTGTATTGACCTGGTATTGTCAAATGTGTTAGTATCGACACAAAGACCTGTGGAACATGTGCTCGAATTTGGAGAACACTGGCCTACACTTTCATGAATGCGGTAGCCAGGTGTTACATAACAGGATATCTATGTTATTTGTGTATTGATGTTCAAGCAAGACCTGATTGTCTTGTGAAGCAACTGAAAGTTACCACGGCTGTGGAGAGAGCTTTAAGTGCTGTAAGTCAACATCCTCCATGCCACACTCTCATATTTCATACCGATCTCAGGAATTAAATAACAACCTTTTAATATTTTTCCAGTTTTGATGCCTTGAACAAACTTGAAAAACTGTTAGAGTAACAAACATCTACACAAAGTTTCAGCTGAATCCATCAAGCCCTTCGGGAGAAGTCAAATACGCAAACCGTTTATGGACATTGGATGACTTGAGACGACATAAGCCACGGCCAGGTGAGCTACACAGTCGATGCTGTTAGTGGGATTGTAATTGGACATGTGGAAACATGGAATGGTTATTTACATATTTGGTTAGTAGCTGCCCAACTACAAAGCCAGAAACATCTCAACAACTAGTCCAGATTGTGTTACCTCCATGGGAGGGTCTGTGACGTCACGGCCAAGTCTTGCTAAACGTTGTTCGTGCAACACATGTTCCGTGCTGTGGTTCTGTGTTTCAGTAATAAGTTCATGTCACAATGACCTGGTTGTATGAAGACACATTTGTACCCTAGTGTGGAGGCTTAGTCATCCATATTGGACCTCATCCCACACTGGTACTGAGACACTGATGACGCTAATTAAAACAATTGTTTCGACTCTTTATTCTTCACTATACAAGATAACTACTACTACTACCACCACCACCACCACAACAACAACAATCACTACTACTACTACTATCACTGCTGCTACTACTACTACTACTACTACTATCACTGCTGCTGCTGCTACTACTACTATCACTGCTGCTACTACTATCACTGCTCTTACTACTACTACTACTGTCACTGCTACTACTATAATCACTGCTGCTACTACTACTACTACTGCTGCTGCTACTACTACTACTATCACTGCTACTACTACTACTACTACTGTTGCTACTACTACTACCACTGCTACTACTATCACTGCTACTACTACTACCACTGCTACTACTACTATCACTGCTCTTACTACTACTACTATCACTGCTACTACTACTATCACTGCTGCTACTACTACTCCTACTACTACTACCACTGCTGCTGCTACTACTACTACTACTATCACTGCTGCTGCTGCTGCTACTACTACTACTACTACTAATACTTAACTACAACTACTACTACTGACACGACTACTACTACATTCTCTGGAACTACTGCTGCTACTTCTTCTTCGTCTACTGCTACCCCTTCTACTACCACATCTACTACAACTACTACTACTACTGGAGTGGTTGGGTAGGCTAGTAGTTAAAGCATTCGCTCATCACGCCAAACAACAGGCGATATGTGTACAATGTGCGAAGCTCATTTCTGGTGTCCCCTGCCGTGATATTGCTGGAATATTGCTAAAAGTGGCGTTAAACCATACTCACTCACTCACTCATTACTACTACTGCTGCTACTTCTTCCTCTACTGCTACTGCTACTGCTACTACTGCTGCTGACGAGCACTACATCACATGATGTATTGATAGAGTTTGAAATATGACTTCCCATGGCGACGATGTTACTACAATGTCATCATAGGCCATTAATTCAAGGGACGAGAAAAGGGAACCACACACACATCTTTCACCAAATGATTTTAAACGTTGTCGACTACTGACTATAAATCTGTCCACACCAGTTGATAATCCATATTTTGTCTATCTGGGAAAGTTAGACAATAACTTTTCATAACAAAGCTCCTTTAAAATGATAAAAGCCATCATGTTAACTCATTTGGTCCATATCCATTGCCATAACAGTTTAAGCAGAATTCGTGAAGCCATTGACATCTTCTGTTGCCATGGAAACTAAGTTGCTGTTACCTGTGTACAATTCTTGCTAAATTCCATCAGAGATTTGGTTTTGGAGGAAATCTGTAAGCTTTGCTTCTGGTGAAACACAAGAATACCAATAGACCAGGCACCATAGTCAGGCCTAGTCGTGGATTCGAACCCAGAACCAACTGCTCATGGCAGGAACTCTGCTGTCTGAGATCACTGGGTAATCCACCTGACACCCGAGTGAGTGAGTGAGTGAGTGAGTGAGTGAGTGTGAGTGTGAGTGTGTGTGTGTGTGTGTGTGTGTGTGTGTGTGTGGTTTTATGCTATTTTTAGCAATATTCCAGCAATATCACATTTGGGGACACCAGAAATGGGCTACACACATTGTACCCATGTGGGGAATCGAACCTGGTTCTTCAGCGTGACGAGTGAACACTTTAATCACTAAGCTACCCGACCGCCCCGAGACTCCCACTGAATGACAACATACGTATTAAAAAGTCAGGCCACGAGGAATCTCTCTCTTTTCCTCTTTTTGTTGTTTAATGACAGACTCAGCAACATTCCAGCTACATGACAGCTGTCTCTAAATAATTGAGTCTGGACCAGACAATCCGGTGATTGACATTCTGAGCATCGATCCACGCAATTGGGATATGATGACATGCATCAAACCAAGTCAGTGAGCCTGACCACCCGATCCCGTTAGTCGCCTCTAACGACAAGCATAGTCACCTTTTATGGCAAGCATGGGTTGCTGGAGACCTATTCTATCCCGGATCTTCACGGGGGGAGACAAGCATGGGTTGCTGAAGACCTATTCTATCCCGGGTCTTCATGGGGGGAGACAAGCATGGGTTGCTGGAGACCTATTCTACATCAGATCTTCACGGGGAGAGACAAGCATGGGTTCACGGAGAACCAGTTGCTATTCATGACCAGGAACTATTTGAATTTTTATGTTTCCTCCTAAACCATGTCATTTACTACAGCCCTGTGGAGAAAGATGTCTGCATTGGCCATAAATTGAAATCCAAGCAAGGTTGTCGGTTAAAAATAAACTCATCTGATAGCCGCTTATCCTAATTACCGCAAGGAAATGTAAACATGGGCAAACGTCTTCAAATTAAGGGCTCTCGAACAACACTGCGACATCATGTTGAAGCGCATTAATGAGTAGGTCAAAAATTTATAATTTCATGTTGAAACGGCAGTATCTCAGCCATGTAGCAATCATGCACGTCCATGAACGAGGGTCAATGGAAATGACGGCTGACAAGGCACCATTCCACTGTCGTAAGTGTATCTTAAAGTATGGCAGTACGATCGTCTTAGCACTATGATTGTCGCATGTCCGTCTTATAGTGTGGGAGTAACAACTGTCTTCTGAACCAAAACAAGCACCACAACCAAGAAGACAGACTTCAGATTTGGAAACAGCGTAGGACCCATCACAAAATGACCATCAGGAACAAGCAGAAACAAACTTCTAAGATGTTTTTATTAAAATGAATAAATGTGCTGAGTTCAATAATGTTAAATGTGTTTAATTAAAAAATAAGGACAGAAATGAGCCCTGTGGCCATGTAGATAATCTGGATTAGCTGGTTAGTAATACATCGTCTACGTCTAATTTATGTTTAATCCTCGTGTATTTGGTGACGGACGTCCATTTTAAGAAGGCAGGTATTCCAACCTTATGATTTAAACGTCTGCTTCATGTGCATGAATGTTTAATTTGTGGCTGGGATAAGTAAACTAGTGAGGCAAATATCACAGAAGCAATATAAAACAAACTATACGATTAAAAGTAAACCCTATCTAGACAACTACATGAGCTACAATAGAAGCATGTTATTACAAAATGTATTCACGATACAGAAAACGTTTTGAAAGACACAAAAACACATTAAATATTTACCACATTTAGAATCACAAACTACTGTGATATGTTATTACATACGACTTCATGTCAACCAGCTGTATGTGAGGAAAACAGTTTGTAAGCCCAACTCACTCACTCACTAACTGTATCACTGCGGGCTTTCCTCCCACATTAAGCTGACACGCCGCGATATAACTGGAATACTGTTCAAAGAGGTGTTGACCCAACTCACTCACTCACTCACTAACTGCATCACTTCTGGCTTTCCTCCCACATTAAGCTGACACGCCGCGATATAACTGGAATACTGTTCAAAGAGGTGTTGACCCAACTCACTAACTAACTGCATCACTTCTGGCTTTCCTCCCACATTAAGCTGACACGCCGCGATATAACTGGAATACTGTTCAAAGAGGTTTTGACCCAACTCACTCACTCACTCACTAACTGTATCACTTCGGGCTTTCCTCCCACATTAAGCTGACACGCCGCGATATAACTGGAATACTGTTCAAAGAGGTGTTGACCCAACTCACTAACTAACTGCATCACTTCTGGCTTTCCTCCCACATTAAGCTGACACGCCGCGATATAACTGGAATACTGTTCAAAGAGGTGTTGACCCAACTCACTCACTTACTCACTAACTGCATCACTTCGGGCTTTCCTCCCACATTAAGCTGACACGCCGCGATATAACTGGAATACTGTTCAAAGAGGTGTTGACCCAACTCACTAACTAACTGCATCACTTCTGGCTTTCCTCCCACATTAAGCTGACACGCCGCGATATAACTGGAATACTGTTCAAAGAGGTGTTGACCCAACTCACTCACTCACTCACTAACTGCATCACTTCTGGCTTTCCTCCCACATTAAGCTGACACGCCGCGATATAACTGGAATACTGTTCAAAGAGGTGTTGACCCAACTCACTCACTCACTCACTAACTGCATCACTTCGGGCTTTCCTCCCACATTAAGCTGACACGCCGCGATATAACTGGAATACTGTTCAAAGAGGTGTTGACCCAACTCACTCACTTACTCACTAACTGCATCACTTCGGGCTTTCCTCCCACATTAAGCTGACACGCCGCGATATAACTGGAATACTGTTCAAAGAGGTGTTGACCCAACTCACTAACTAACTGCATCACTTCTGGCTTTCCTCCCACATTAAGCTGACACGCCGCGATATAACTGGAATACTGTTCAAAGAGGTTTTGACCCAACTCACTCACTCACTCACTAACTGTATCACTTCGGGCTTTCCTCCCACATTAAGCTGACACGCCGCGATATAACTGGAATACTGTTCAAAGAGGTGTTGACCCAACTCACTCACTAACTGCATCACTTCTGGCTTTCCTCCCACATTAAGCTGACACGCCGCGATATAACTGGAATACTGTTCAAAGAGGTGTTGACCCAACTCACTCACTTACTCACTAACTGCATCACTTCTGGCTTTCCTCCCACATTAAGCTGACACGCCGCGATATAACTGGAATACTGTTCAAAGAGGTGTTGACCCAACTCACTCACTCACTCACTAACTGCATCACTTCGGGCTTTCCTCCCACATTAAGCTGACACGCCGCGATATAACTGGAATACTGTTCAAAGAGGTGTTGACCCAACTCACTCACTTACTCACTAACTGCATCACTTCGGGCTTTCCTCCCACATTAAGCTGACACGCCGCGATATAACTGGAATACTGTTCAAAGAGGTGTTGATCCAACTCACTAACTAACTGCATCACTTCTGGCTTTCCTCCCACATTAAGCTGACACGCTGCGATATAACTGGAATACTGTTAAAAGCGGCGTAAAACCCAACTCACTCACTCACTCACTAACTGCATCACTTCTGGCTTTCCTCCCACATTAAGCTGACACGCCGCGATATAACTGGAATACTGTTCAAAGAGGTGTTGACCCAACTCACTCACTAACTGCATCACTTCTGGCTTTCCTCCCACATTAAGCTGACACGCCGCGATATAACTGGAATACTGTTCAAAGAGGTGTTGACCCAACTCACTCACTCACTCACTAACTGCATCACTTCGGGCTTTCCTCCCACATTAAGCTGACACGCCGCGATATAACTGGAATACTGTTCAAAGAGGTGTTGACCCAACTCACTCACTTACTCACTAACTGCATCACTTCGGGCTTTCCTCCCACATTAAGCTGACACGCCGCGATATAACTGGAATACTGTTCAAAGAGGTGTTGATCCAACTCACTAACTAACTGCATCACTTCTGGCTTTCCTCCCACATTAAGCTGACACGCTGCGATATAACTGGAATACTGTTAAAAGCGGCGTAAAACCCAACTCACTCACTCACTCACTAACTGCATCACTTCTGGCTTTCCTCCCACATTAAGCTGACACGCCGCGATATAACTGGAATACTGTTCAAAGAGGTGTTGACCCAACTCACTCACTAACTGCATCACTTCTGGCTTTCCTCCCACATTAAGCTGACACGCCGCGATATAACTGGAATACTGTTCAAAGAGGTGTTGACCCAACTCACTCACTTACTCACTAACTGCATCACTTCGGGCTTTCCTCCCACATTAAGCTGACACGCCGCGATATAACTGGAATACTGTTCAAAGAGGTGTTGACCCAACTCACTCACTCACTCACTAACTGCATCACTTCTGGCTTTCCTCCCACATTAAGCTGACACGCCGCGATATAACTGGAATACTGTTCAAAGAGGTGTTGACCCAACTCACTAACTAACTGCATCACTTCTGGCTTTCCTCCCACATTAAGCTGACACGCCGCGATATAACTGGAATACTGTTCAAAGAGGTGTTGACCCAACTCACTCACTCACTCACTAACTGCATCACTTCGGGCTTTCCTCCCACATTAAGCTGACACGCCGCGATATAACTGGAATACTGTTCAAAGAGGTGTTGACCCAACTCACTCACTTACTCACTAACTGCATCACTTCGGGCTTTCCTCCCACATTAAGCTGACACGCCGCGATATAACTGGAATACTGTTCAAAGAGGTGTTGACCCAACTCACTAACTAACTGCATCACTTCTGGCTTTCCTCCCACATTAAGCTGACACGCCGCGATATAACTGGAATACTGTTCAAAGAGGTGTTGACCCAACTCACTAACTAACTGCATCACTTCTGGCTTTCTCCCACATTAAGCTGACACGCCGCGATATAACTGGAATACTGTTCAAAGAGGTGTTGACCCAACTCACTAACTAACTGCATCACTTCTGGCTTTCCTCCCACATTAAGCTGACGCGCCGCGATATAACTGGAATACTATTAAAAGCGGCGTAAAACCCAACTCACTCACTCACTCAGGTCTGGTTTTCTATAAAACTTACCACGCTCCCATACGGTCTCCGAACGGTGAAGACCCCTGGAACTGTCCATTCATGGCCGCCAACACGTCCTTTACGGAGGCAGTAGTCGGGGCCGCTGATGGTGTCAACGCTGAGACCACGACTAGAAACCAGAAAAGTTTCAAATCTAAACAATTAACAAATCTCATAAAATAAATGTTCACAAAGAACTCCATGGTGTGACACACACACACACACACACACACACACACACACACACACACACACACAGAGCTCTGACCACCCTGGCTGTGACCTTGACCCAGTCTGGACCTGACAATCCAGTGATTGACACGCAATCCGTCAAGTCACTGAGCCTGATTAAACTTTCGATTGATTGAAATTCTCAATGTCAGTTATATCAATGACAAGTAAAACAGTATGCTGAACTATGATAGCCCAGGTCAAGACTCGATGAATGGTGATATGACAATTATCATAAATGTGATATGACTTTATTAAGGTGGAGTGATAATCACCATTAAATCTAATAATAGTAATATCGGCACGCCTCTAATCGGGAACAAGGGCATTGATTAATTTCTGATGGTACTAAAATATCACAACACTTGCCATCACTCCCTCCGGCATGGAACAGTGATTTCAACCATTAAAAGACTCGACTATTTACAGCCGCATGGAATAGCTGAGTATGGCATAAAACTACATTCACTTAGCTTACCGGTAAGCAAGTCCTCCCTAAACAAGCAAAATGTAGAAAAAAACGATTCATCTCGCTCTGTTAAATAAACACAATAAATGGTGCTAATGACATCAATTAATGACGACGTTGGTATGTTGTCGAGGAAACGTGTACCTGCTCACCGGTGAGGCTGATGAAACTTGTCCTGTACACAAACACACGTTTAGAACGAGTGAGAGAATCGATCCATGAGCCGTGCTGATATTACCACAAATTAATGGTTGATGTGGTTTACACACACACACACACACACACACACACACACACGCTCCAGACAGACACACACAGCGACAGAGAGACAGACACACACACATACAGACACACACAGTGACAGACAGACACACACAAACAGCGTTGCAACAAACAACAAGAGTTTGCCACTAACTTGGCTATATCCCCTGCCCCTGTTGCAGAATTTATGACATAATTTAATCTAAAGAAACCCTAACCTTTTTTAACCGAGGTGGAACTTGTTATGGAAATTGTAAAAAAAAGAAGAGTTTGGAACCTAAGTCCATCTTGTTGCCACGGAAACGTAAAAAATAAAAATTTCTAAAATTTCTAAATAGCAAAAGGAACCAGTTCAGCATATATCTGACAAACCTGCAAAGTTTCATGAAAAAATATTGAATGGTTTATGAGTTATGCTCCGGAAAGGAACCCTACCCTCACAGAACCAAAGTCCATCTTGTTGCCACAGAAACATAAAAAATAAAAATTTCTAAAATTTCTAAATAGCAAAAGGAACCAGTTCAGCATATATCTGACAAACCTGCAAAGTTTCATGAAAAAATATTGAATGGTTTATGAGTTATGCTCCGGAAAGGAACCCTACCCTCACAGAACCAAAGTCCATCTTGTTGCCATGGAAATGTAAAAAATAAAAATTTCCTAAAATATCTAAATAGCAAAAGGCACCAGTTCAGCATGTACTTGACAGACCTGCAAAGTTTCATGAAAAAATATTGAACGTTTCTGAGTTATTCTATATCCCTCGCCAACTTTGTTGGGTGGGGGATGATAAGTTACATGTTCACCACACGCAGCAATCTTCCAGATATATTGGACCAGACAATCCAGTGATAGTTCTAGTATCGTCGTCTTGCATGTTGAATGTTGTTGACAGCCATCATTTCTCGCCTTACACAGATTTGTAGTCACCCAGCATACCTTAACATGCGACAGCGCTGTTCCTGAAGACGTGGTGCTGCTTCATCGACACTCTTCACATCTCTGGCACTCCACAGACGTTCTGCTGCCGCCGAAGCCCTCGGCCTGCAAGTGAGTGAGTGAGTGAGTGAGTGAGTGAGTGAGTGAGTTTGTCATCAGTGCCGGTTGACATACAACTATCTGTATCTACGTCTATAGGCATCGTCTCTCCAGAAAGCGGAAGATCCGCTATTCGATCCCTTGCCGTGTCGCACAACAAAAACCTTTAAATATCATACTTGTTGTTTCCCTGCCTTGTTCTTGGAATTAAGGGGATAAAGCAAGGACTGGTGAGCTTGGAGTGAGTATACTGTGTCGGAGTGGGGTATCCATGTTAAACTGCGGCATGGTATATGAGTGGGCTGACACAATAAATCTGTCAGTCTAGACTTAAAGAAGTATCACACATGTACATGTACGTTGCTATATGAATGCTATAATTTTAAACTCCATTTCACCTCGTCCAACAAGATTACCTTCAAAATCCTTTGTCTATCCAAATATTAACCTATCTGAAGTTAGACACATGCATCAACTATGGATACGAGAAATCGCCTAATATTACACAATACAGCATCGGGAACGTGTTTATTGATTTCGTGTACTCGTGCACGAGTCCCAGACCAACATTCATCGGAAGTGAGCACAAACTTAACGTAGCTCGTGACAAGCAAGTTGTTGTATTGCAACAGATTACCTGCCTTATGACATAATTTATCAAAGCAACGCTTTTCTCAAGTACGTAATCTTGGCGTAACTGTTGTGTAAACAATTGAGCTACTTGACACAGCCCTGGCATTGATGTTTTGTTTATCTGAGCAGACACATCGTCTGCTTATTGCTACATCTCTGTGAACCCTTTCATCAAACATAGTGAAGCATCAGGTTCTCCGGAAAAATCAATTCCGCGCTCATTGTACTTTTGTCTGAAAATCATGCACATTTGCATTGTACTCAACTGCTGATGACACACAATTGGTAGGTTTATTTGGCAACCATTCAATCAATGTCCCCAGTAGATGTTCTATACTTACATACCAATATGCCCACAGTTAGTTTCTTCAATAATACACAATTCTTTGTCTGTGTTACAGTCAAAGTCTACAATCAGGCAATGTGTATATTGATTGAAAATTTCTGACAATATGTTTTGTTTGTTTGTTTGGTTGTTGTGCAACGCCACACTCAGCAATATTCCAGCTACCCCCCCTACCGTGTCAGCTGGTTTGACAATCTGCAACGGGGCGAGGGTCATTTCAACTTTATTTGCAGAAATTATTAAACTTTATTCAAGGAAAAGAGATACAAATCATGTTTATGTATGGAAATAGTTATTGAAACAGTTATTTAGGACGAAATGCGAAGTTTTATTGTCAAATGCTGGGCTGGCTATCGGACACGGGTTGACATCGCCAGTGGAAAAAAAATGTGAGATCTTCGATTCCGTGTAAAAGACGACCCCCCTTCTTAACCCCCTCATTTTAGGTAAAAAAACCTCACCTTATACACAGCGATATACGGTATATGATGGCAGTCTGTTAATAATGAGTTACAACATGCATAGAAAAAACAGTCAGGCCATGAGGAATATCTCTCTTTTCCTCTTTTGTTGTTTAATGCCTCACTCAGAAATATTCCAGCTACATGACAGCAGTCTGTAAATAATCGAGTCTGGGCCAGACGATCCAGTGATTGACGTCATGTGCATCAATCCATGCAGTTGGGATACGATGACATGCATCAACCAAGTCAGAGAGCCTGACCATCCAATCCTGTTAGTTGCCTCTTACAACAAGCATAGTCGCCTTTTACAGCAAGCATGGGTTGCTGAAGACCTATTTCACCCCCGACCTTCATGGGTTCTGTTAATACATGTATGTATATTGACTGATTCACTCAAGCAATGTACATATTGCCTGAAAAATGAGACTGGATATTTGACAGATTGACTGAAATGAATTAGACTCCTTAATTTAATCCTCTCATTACCCTTTGGATCCATTTTGATCTTATGAGGATCAAAGTAACTTCTGTAAGTAATTATAAATGTTTTGTAAAAGATCATGAATTGACTGGTTCTTCAAACATGACAAAATACTAGAGTCTGTTTATTTTTTATATTACTTATCATTATTTGTTTACGCTTCTTCCAACATTCAATGCACAGTGATTTGTTCAGTTCTACTACCTCACGAGTGATATTACCATATTTAGTCAATTCCAACATTCAATGCACAGTGATTTGTTCAGTTCTACTACCTCACGAGTGATATTACCATATTTAGTCAATGTTTCCACATTTTGTCACGACCACCATGACAAGTTGAAACCTGTCTGAATGATGTCAAACCTATCGTCAATATGTGTACAGTATATGGGTCCTTGAGCACTGGCATTGCGTTACGAATTAACTTTTCAATATCACCACACTGAGAAATTTCATAATGGCCAAGGATGTACTACTGACAAGTGAACTTAGTCTTAGCAGGAAAAGCTTCATTGAGTTCTACAAGTGTTAATGCAAAATACTTGTTGGTCAATAATAAGAACTTCTTGTCAGACTCTTTCTTTTTCAGCAACTGTTCCTGCAAAGTAGAAACCATTTATGGATAACAACTTCTTTAGTCCTGTCTTGACAGCGGTTTAAGGATCTATACCAAAACGTCGCCTTTACAGTATTTAAGCAGTTGTTATCCATAAATTGTGTCTACTTTGTAATCCGACAACTTCTAAGTACATTGTAATGCCTATCAAAATATTCAACTATTCGTGAATCAAGTCCAGAGCTCCAGATAAGCTGCGTATCTGCGTGAAATACGCATCAGAAATGCAGAAATACGCAGTAAAATATAATCCAAGTGTATCAAATACGCAACGAACATTACAGATACGCTACAAAAATAAAATTTGTGCGTATCATCAAATTATTGTGAAGTAACCCTGCGTATTCGATTAGCAAATCAGCAACTTATTTTGAAATTATAAAAGGGCATTCCGTCAACCTTGCCAAACTCCACGATGACAGTTACATCCTGATCATATGCCATCACACTTTCGTGTGGAAGTATTGTGGTATTTTTGAGTCCTATAAAGCTCTCGAACCCACACGACACCAGTTTGCAGGGACTAGATGAATAGTGTTTTTATATATTTAACTTAAATACCCACATGTGTAAAAACTAGTGGGTAACAGAAATTTGAATACGCAGATAGAATTACTGATACCCAATGATTTTAAAATGCATGGGTAAAATACCCACAACACCAAAAGCTGATCTGGAGCTCTGGAAGTCCTGGCAAAAGTTGACCGAGCAATGGTCAGAGCTACAGATAAACAGTGTATTTGCGTAAAATACCCCCCCCCCCTCAAAAAAAATATTCAAAACCCAATTACTTTCAATTAACTTGTGTTCAGAAACGCATACATTAAATGAAAAACTCAAATGTATAAAAACAGCGTGGTTCGCGTAAATACCCAATGAAGCTTTTTCAGCATGTGTACAAAAGAGATAATTCACGAAACACAATTACGAGCTTATTTACTTTCTAAGTCAAGCCTATATACTTACAACAGTTATATACATCTAAAACATTACTTCATTTTTTTTAAAATCTTAAAATGTTCACTAATTTTGGGAAAAACCGAATAGAGTGATGAATAGATGGGTAAAAAAATATTGGATACCCAATGAAAAATGTAATACTCCAATAAAAAAAGAAACCCTAGAGTAAAAGCTCAATTGCTCAAAAAGTTATCTGGATAGTATTACTTTTTTTTAATTCCACTTTATATTAAAGGTCAGTGTCACCTACTGTTTTCACACGTACCTACTGTACTAATGAGGCTTCTAATCAGGAGATAGTTTCAGGTCACTGCTACCTAGTATTTGACTAACTATTTGGTATCTAATCTGTTTTAGTTTTCATTTATTTAAACAGAGGTAATTAGTGGTGTATTGACATTTGTCAATATCAGATTGTTTCCAATATATTGTGTAAACTGCATACTTAGATATGATACTTTGATAAGATCAGAGCAGATCCAAATTAAAAGGAGATTGAATTAAGGAGTCTAATTCATTTCAGTCAGTCTAGGATCTAGTCTCATTTTTCAGGCAATAAGTTCATTCCCCGAGTGAATCTGTCAATAAACATATTGACTGACATTTTTAGTCAATAAATATAATGCCTGATTATAGACACTGACTGTACATATACAAGCGTGGGAAGGTATTTCACATAGAGTCCTTACCAGAGTCTGGTCATGAGATTCTCGTTGTCGACGTACTCCGCCCATAGACAAGCCTCTCCCCCCAACACTCGCGTCTCGTCCACGCCCTGACCTGCGAGGGTAGATAGTGGGGGTTGTCTCAACAACACATGCATGAATAATACACTTCTGATGGTGGTGACAGAATGTTGTTGTATGCTGGGCCATCTGCATTTGAGCCACGTAACCTGTCTTGGTTTATGACATGAAATCATGATTCAATGGCCTCACTCACTCACTACTACACCCAAACTCACTCACTCACTCAAACCCACCAACCAACCCACCCAAAGCTCACTCACTCACTCACCCACCCACCCAAAGCTCACTCAATATCTCACTCACCCACCCGAAGCTCACTAATCCACTCACTCACTCACAGGCATTCCCGTTTACCGGTAATTACCAGTTTTTCACTGGTAAAATTAGGCTTGGACCTTAATTCATGTCACTGCCAGTCCTTGTGGACCGGCAACTATAGTACCTTATAATTCAATGGTGATATTCATATAAGTACATTTTTTGAACAAAGTCAGCTTGTCTGTTACCATCAGGGTCTCCCCTTGTCTATTTCTAGGTTAAACATCCATTTCGTCTCGAAACATAAAAAAAGAAGAGAAAATTGTGACTGAAGTTTGTGTGAATGACGTATAGACCTAGCTCAGTTACTTCAGAGATGACATCTTTGCACTGAACATGATGATGGAGGACACAAGGACTGACAGTTTCAAAAGCCAGCAGGAACTCTGCCCACTCACCTGGGAATGCCGGATCACAGGTGTAGTACTTGGGCCAGTCCGGCCCAAACTGGATCATATCGAGGTACCAACACGCAGAGTACAACACTCGGTATCCCTTCTGTATCGCCTCGCGCATCAACATGGCGTCCCCCATCCATATCTCGGCGATTGTGTCGTTCACCATCTGAACACATAGGATGATCCTTGTAAGGATGAGTGAGTGAGTGTGTTACGCTGCAGTCACCAGGATCAAGAGATGTTTGGAGTGGTTGGAATGGACCAAACCAACCCGAGTGGAACATATGAGTGAAAATGTCAAATTTCTCAGGCCACGAGATGATATAAACATGTTATTTTACCAAACAGCCAACTTGTTTGTTATGTATTTTCTTACTGATCTGGTCTGATTGTTTGTTGTTTAATGCTGCACTCAGCAACATTCCAGCTTTTTGATGGCGGTCTCTAAATAATCAAGTCTGGACCATACAATCCAGTGATTGACATCATGAGCATCGATGTACACAATTGGAATACGATGACATGCATCAACCAAGTCAGCAAGCCTGACCACCGGATCCAGTTAGTTGCCTCTTAAGACAGCAGAGATGCCTTTTACAGCAAGCATGGGTTGCTGAAGACCTATTCTCTACTGATTTTCACGATATGGCTGAAATATTGCCGATGGGACATAAAAATGTTAATTAACTTAACTCCCTGATCTAGTCTGAAAACCATAGCGTCAGTGAGAAAGACAGGGAGAAGTCCGGCACTAACAAAGTGTTTCCTCCATGTTACTTCACTCAGATATTAAATACGTCATGAAACATAATATTTCATGTTGATGGTAACAGAAAGACATGTACAAATGAACCTATTACGTGAGTTGTTAGATAAACTTTATATAAAGGTGTTAGCATATACTGTGCCCGACTTCCCCCGTTGGGTTTTTGGGTTAGAGTAGGTTCCAAGCATCCTAGTCCCGTGATTGGTTGATTGTGTATTGACGCCATGGATCGTTTCACCCTTTACCTTGATGTTTGTTTTTGTAGAGGCTTCTTGCCAAAGAATGAACTTGACCCCCTGGACGCGAGACTTGCTGACTGCATGAACGTCCTTCATGAATCTGTGGATGGAAGTACCTATGGTGAACATGGTGGCCCAGTCAGTCCTCCTGGTCCGAGACATGCAGAGTGAGTGAGTGAGTGGGTGAGTGAGTGGGTGAGTGAGTGAGTGAGTGAGTGGGTGGGTGGGTGGGTGGGTGGGTGAGTGAGTGAGTGAGTGAGTGGGTGAGTGAGTGAGTGAGTGAGTGAGTGAGTGAGTGAGTGAGTGAGTGAGTGAGTGGGTGGGTGGGTGAGTGAGTGAGTGAGTGAGTGAGTGGGTGGGTGGGTGGGTGGGTGGGTGAGTGAGTGAGTGAGTGAGTGAGTGAGTGAGTGAGTGAGTGGGTGGGTGGGTGAGTGAGTGAGTGGGTGGGTGGGTGGGTGGGTGGGTGGGTGAGTGAGTGAGTGAGTGAGTGAGTGAGTGAGTGAGTGAGTGAGTGAGTGAGTGAGTGAGTGAGTGAGTGGGTGGGTGGGTGGGTGGGTGAGTGAGTGAGTGAGTGGGTGGGTGGGTGGGTGGGTGAGTGAGTGAGTGGGTGGGTGAGTGAGTGAGTGAGTGAGTGGGTGGGTGGGTGAGTGAGTGAGTGAGTGAGTGAGTGAGTGAGTGAGTGAGCGAGATCGTGAGTGAGTGAGTGAGTGAGTGAGTGAGTGAGTGAGCAAGCGAACTGTTACACTGTTTTCAACAGTATTCCAGTTATATCGTGGCGTGTCAGCTTAATGTGGGAGGAAAGCCTGATCAGACATTTACCACTTGGGTGAAACCCACGAGCACGGGTATGTTGACAAACCTAGAAACATAATCGGGGAGAACCGGGATTTGAATCCATTATCTCGGGTATCTGGCGTGCCCTACGACCAACCATGCAACTCTGTGGATCGGATGTCTCCAGGCCCCAATGGTGTGGATCTTTGCTCATGCATTCAGTCATTGCTGTGTCAAGTACAGGTTCAATTATTTAAAGCCTGCTCTCAAAAGAAAGCTGGAATATTAACCACTGCACATTTCACAGTCAGTCTCTCAAATTTCCCGTCTATAAAATAAATATGTAAACAGTAAACTACATTCATAACGAACACGCTTATAATGAACTGACCAATATAGCGAACTTATTTTTTAATCCCAGCCATTTGTTGCATATATGCTGTATATATGCTTATAAAGAACTACGGTTATTACAAACTAAAATTAGTGGTCCCTTTGAGTTTGTTATAACCGTAGTTTACTGTATATTTGTTTACGTCGAGGAGCTATTATATCAAGTGAGACATCCATAGTATCAGACAGTCAAGGGAGATAACCAAGTAGTTAGGTGACTAGATTAACAAGGGAGACTATCCTACTTGCCTATTCTGGAAATACTCCCACAATGTCACCGTGTCAAGTGGTAGACCTGGCTGTCTGTTTACAGTCTTCTTAATCTTTGTCTCCAGGTTTTGTAGCAGGCCACTCTGGGCCTTGACCAGTCTCTCCCCATTCTTCATCACCTCGTCGTTCGCCCTCCTGTTCCGATCAAGATTAAGGGAAATAATTGTAGGATCTCTCCTAGGGCTGGGAAGGGTAACTCGGGTACCCGGGTCAGGTGGGTACTGAGTAGGACCCGGGTACCCACAGGACTACCTGCACCCATGGTTAGTCACGTGATATATTGTTTAATGACAAAAATTATCAAGAACTCTATGTTTAAACTACAAGTCACTAATGTTTCTGACTACTGCACCCATTCCTTCTGACTTTTTTTTATGTTTGAATAAAAATAAAACTTCAGTCAACTTCAGTGTATACACCAGATCGTGTTATACCTGTATCGAAACAAATTTTGCCAGGTCTACGGTCAAATTTGTCCCACTCGGACAGTTTGTACCTACCTCTTGAGACCTACAGCAGGTACTTGGGTGGGGTCGGGTATTAGGGGGATGGGTACCCAGGTAGTCAATTTGGACTCATCCCAGCAATAGTCTCACCCTCACCAGGGGCGGTCTGGTAGCCTGGTGGTTAAAGCGTTCGCTCGTCACGCCGAAGACCCAGGTTCGAATCCCAACATGGGTACAATGTGTGAAGCCCATTTCTGGTGTCCCCCGCCGTGATATTGCTGGAATATTGCTAAAAGGGGCGTAAAACCCAACTCACTCACTCACCCGAACCATATCATAGCCCTCTCTACAATCTAGTCTCTACAATCTAGAGTTACATAGCTTTACTAGCCGACTCTTGAGACAAATTCCACCTGAATTGATCACAAGTTATAACAGAAACCTGTGCCCATGGGGTTAAGTACATTATCAGCTGTCGACTGGTCTCAAGGGGTATTTGGTAATATGCACCCTGATTGCGAGCCTCTCTACCCCGAGCCGGTAATAATCTAACATAATCTAAGTGAATGGTTTAATACAACAATATTTATTCATTTAAACAACATTCACAAAAAAACGCTACTTACCAACAGTCCGCTGGAACCTCATCCCCACCAGCATGAATGAACTGGTCCGGAAATAGGTCAAGGACTTCCCTGAACAATTCCTTAAGGAAAGCATACGTGGAATCCTTGCTGGGGTCGATGGGGCCTACCATTCCATATGTTGGATAATTTTTATTGTAGCACTTGGTGATCAGCTCTGGACGACCGTGCCCCCAGGCGTACGTGTGACCTGTGTAAAACAAGAAGTTGACCCCAGGTTTCTTGGACTAAAAAGGATCCCCAAACCATTTTGTTTGGTTATTTGAAAAATACACATAACCTTGTTTCTCATCTTTGGTAGGGAGGTAATAACTTGATTTCCAAAATACCCAGTCGAGATTACAAACTGGCATCCATTTTGTTTTTCAGCCTTCACTTTTGGCACTGTATATGAGGGAAGGTGCTTGGTATTCTAGTCCACCCTGGAACAGACCCTTTACAACAAAACCCACACACTAGCTTACAAGATTCCTTTAACAAACTAACATGCAGCTCACATGAATCACAGTGCAAATATAAAAAAGTTTACTATTTTTTAAAAGTAGGAATAGCCTGGGGTTGCCTGTCTTTGGGACCCTGGACCCCATTCCACAAAGCAATCTTAGCGCTAATGCCTGAGTCACAGATCCACTGATACCAGGAAAGATTAGTTCATGATGCACCAAAAGGCTGTAAATCGGCAAAATTGAGAGAAAGCCGCCGGGGCGCCGGACGATCATCTTGGAGCATTGGCCATGTTTTTGAAATCATGAAGATCCCAGTGGACATATCAGAAAAAAATAACTCAGAGTTATTTTCTTGCGGCGATGGATCTGTGACACATCTTCCGGCAGCCCACCAGTGACCCCCCAGGCACCTGCCAGACCGTGAGGGAATCGGACAAGTTTGCAGTGTGCAGGTTTGGTATGGTCACTGGAGGATAGCCGGGCTCCTTTTATGGCGAGCAGGAAACGGGCAGTGTTCATCCGGGCACTGTATGATTTGGTTTACATCGTATGAGTGACTATTTGGCCAGAGTATGAGTGTCTATTTGCTGGAGTATGAGTGTCTATTTGCTGGAGTATGAGTGGCTATTTGCTGGAGTATGAGTGGCTATTTGCTGGAGTATGAGTGTCTATTTGCTGGAGTATGAGTGGCTATTTGCTGGAGTATGAGTGGCTATTTGCTGGAGTATGAGTGGCTATTTGCTTGAGTATGAGTGTCTATTTGCTGGAGTATGAGTGTCTATTTGCTGGAGTATGAGTGGCTATTTGGCTGGAGTATGAGTGTCTATTTGCTGGAGTATGAGTGTCTATTTGCTGGAGTATGAGTGGCTATTTGCTGGAGTACGAGTGTCTATTTGCTGGAGTACGAGTGGCTATTTGCTGGAGTATGAGTGTCTATTTGCTGGAGAATGAGTGTCTATTGGCTGGAGTATGAGTGTCTATTTGCTGGAGTATGAGTGTCTATTTGCTGGAGTATGAGTGTCTATTTGCTGGAGTATGAGCGGCTATTTGCTGGAGTATGAGTGGCTATTCGGCCAGAGTATGAGTGTCTATTTGCTGGAGTATGAGTGTCTATTTGCTGGAGTATGAGTGGCTATTTGCTGGAGTATGAGTGGCTATTTGCTGGAGTATGAGTGTCTATTTGCTGGAGTATGAGTGGCTATTTGCTGGAGTATGAGTGTCTATTTGCTGGAGTATGAGTGGCTATTTGCTTGAGTATGAGTGGCTATTTGCTGGAGTATGAGTGTCTATTTGCTGGAGTATGAGTGGCTATTTGGCTGGAGTATGAGTGTCTATTTGCTGGAGTATGAGTGTCTATTTGCTGGAGTATGAGTGGCTATTTGCTGGAGTACGAGTGTCTATTTGCTGGAGTACGAGTGGCTATTTGCTGGAGTATGAGTGTCTATTTGCTGGAGAATGAGTGTCTATTGGCTGGAGTATGAGTGTCTATTTGCTGGAGTATGAGTGGCTATTTGGCTGGAGTATGAGTGTCTATTTGCTGGAGTATGAGTGGCTATTTGCTGGAGTATGAGTGTCTATTTGGCTGGAGTATGAGTGACTATTTGGCCAGAGTATGAGTGGCTATTTCCTGGAGTATGAGTGGCTATTTGCTGGAGTATGAGTGGCTATTTGCTGGAGTATGAGCGGCTATTTGCTGGAGTATGAGTGTCTATTTGCTGGAGTATGAGTGGCTATTTGCTGGAGTATGAGTGTCTATTTGGCTGGAGTATGAGTGGCTATTTGGCTGGAGTATGAGTGTCTATTTGCTGGAGTATGAGTGTCTATTTGCTGGAGTATGAGTGGCTATTTGCTGGAGTACGAGTGTCTATTTGCTGGAGTACGAGTGGCTATTTGCTGGAGTATGAGTGTCTATTTGCTGGAGAATGAGTGTCTATTGGCTGGAGTATGAGTGTCTATTTGCTGGAGTACGAGTGGCTATTTGCTGGAGTATGAGTGTCTATTTGCTGGAGAATGAGTGTCTATTGGCTGGAGTATGAGTGTCTATTTGCTGGAGTATGAGTGGCTATTTGGCTGGAGTATGAGTGTCTATTTGCTGGAGTATGAGTGTCTATTTGGCTGGAGTATGAGTGACTATTTGGCCAGAGTATGAGTGGCTATTTCCTGGAGTATGAGTGGCTATTTGCTGGAGTATGAGTGGCTATTTGCTGGAGTATGAGCGGCTATTTGCTGGAGTATGAGTGTCTATTTGCTGGAGTATGAGTGGCTATTTGCTGGAGTATGAGTGTCTATTTGGCTGGAGTATGAGTGACTATTTGGCCAGAGTATGAGTGGCTATTTCCTGGAGTATGAGTGGCTATTTGCTGGAGTATGAGTGGCTATTTGCTGGAGTATGAGTGGCTATTTGCCAGAGTATGAGCGGCTATTTGCTGGAGTATGAGTGGCTATTTGCTGGAGTATGAGTGGCTATTTGCTGGAGTATGAGCGGCTATTTGCTGGAGTATGAGTGGCTATTTGCTGGAGTATGAGTGGCTATTTGCTGGAGTATGAGCGGCTATTTGCTGGAGTATGAGTGTCTATTGGCTGGAGTATGAGTGGCTATTTGCTGGAGTATGAGTGGCTATTTGCTGGAGTATGAGCGGCTATTTGGCTGGAGTATGAGTGGCTATTTGCTGGAGTATGAGTGGCTATTTGCTGGAGTATGAGTGGCTATTTGCTGGAGTATGAGTGGCTATTTGCTGGAGTATGAGCGGCTATTTGCTGGAGTATGAGCGGCTATTTGCTGGAGTATGAGTGTCTATTTGCTGGAGTATGAGTGTCTATTTGCTGGAGTATGAGTGTCTATTTGCTGGAGTATGAGTGGCTATTTGCTGGAGTATGAGCGGCTATTTGCTGGAGTATGAGTGGCTATTTGCTGGAGAATGAGCGGCTATTTGCTGGAGAATGAGTGTCTATTTGCTGGAGTATGAGTGGCTATTTGCTGGAGTATGAGCGGCTATTTGCTGGAGTATGAGTGTCTATTTGCTGGAGTATGAGTGGCTATTTGCTGGAGTATGAGTGTCTATTTGCTGGAGTATGAGTGTCTATTTGCTGGAGTATGAGTGGCTATTTGCTGGAGTATGAGCGGCTATTTGCTGGAGTATGAGTGGCTATTTGCTGGAGAATGAGCGGCTATTTGCTGGAGAATGAGTGTCTATTTGCTGGAGTATGAGTGGCTATTTGCTGGAGTATGAGTGGCTATTTGCTGGAGTATGAGTGGCTATTTGCTGGAGTATGAGCGGCTATTTGCTGGAGTATGAGTGGCTATTTGCTGGAGTATGAGTGGCTATTTGCTGGAGTATGAGTGGCTATTTGCTGGAGTATGAGTGGCTATTTGCTGGAGTATGAGTGTCTATTTGCTGGAGTATGAGTGTCTATTTGCTGGAGTATGAGTGTCTATTTGCTGGAGTATGAGTGTCTATTTGCTGGAGTATGAGCGGCTATTTGCTGGAGTATGAGTGGCTATTTGCTGGAGTATGAGTGTCTATTTGCTGGAGTATGAGTGGCTATTTGCTGGAGTATGAGTGTCTATTTGCTGGAGTATGAGTGGCTATTTGCTGGAGTATGAGTGGCTATTTGGCTGGAGTACGAGTGGCTATTTGCTGGAGTATGAGTGTCTATTTGCTGGAGTATGAGTGGCTATTTGCTGGAGTATGAGTGGCTATTTGCTGGAGTATGAGTGTCTATTTGCTGGAGTATGAGTGTCTATTTGCTGGAGTATGAGTGGCTATTTGCTGGAGTATGAGTGGCTATTTGCTGGAGTATGAGTGTCTATTTGCTGGAGTATGAGTGGCTATTTGCTGGAGTACGAGTGGCTATTTGCTGGAGTATGAGTGTCTATTTGCTGGAGTATGAGTGTCTATTTGCTGGAGTATGAGTGTCTATTTGCTGGAGTATGAGCGGCTATTCGGCCAGAGTATGAGTGTCTATTTGCTGGAGTATGAGTGTCTATTTGCTGGAGTATGAGTGGCTATTTGCTGGAGTATGAGAGGCTATTCGGCCAGAGTATGAGTGTCTATTTGCTGGAGTACGAGTGGCTATTTGCTGGAGTATGAGTGTCTATTTGCTGGAGTATGAGTGGCTATTTGCTGGAGTATGAGAGGCTATTCGGCCAGAGTATGAGTGTCTATTTGCTGGAGTACGAGTGGCTATTTGCTGGAGTATGAGTGTCTATTTGCTGGAGTACGAGTGGCTATTTGCTGGAGTATGAGTGTCTATTTGCTGGAGTATGAGAGGCTATTCGGCCAGAGTATGAGTGTCTATTTGCTGGAGTACGAGTGGCTATTTGCTGGAGTACGAGTGTCTATTTGCTGGAGTACGAGTGGCTATTTGCTGGAGTATGAGTGTCTATTTGCTGGAGTATGAGTGGCTATTTGCTGGAGTATGAGAGGCTATTCGGCCAGAGTATGAGTGTCTATTTGCTGGAGTATGAGTGTCTATTTGCTGGAGAATGAGTGGCTATTTGCTGGAGTATGAGTGGCTATTTGCTGGAGAATGAGTGGCTATTTGCTGGAGTATGAGTGGCTATTTGCTGGAGTATGAGTGTCTATTTGCTGGAGAATGAGTGGCTATTTGCTGGAGTATGAGTGTCTATTTGCTGGAGTATGAGTGGCTATTTGCTGGAATATGAGTGGCTATTTGCTGGAGAATGAGTGGCTATTTGCTGGAGTACGAGTGTCTATTTGCTGGAGTATGAGTGTCTATTTGC